AGGAGCAGGGGGAGTTTGGGGGTATGTGCTCTTAAAGAGAATTTAGATAAGAAATTGGAGTTAGAGGTGGAGGTAATTGTTATGAGAAAGCGTAGGTTCTATTCTTGCGGATAGGGAAGTAGTAGATAATTCCTTCATGGTAGCGTAACATAACTCAAGTTGACTTACTGTATTTCATTGTTTTAGCCAAGTAGAATCATGAAAAACACCTGACGGAAAACTCTAAGATACTCAAAGTAACTTTTCTGGAATATCTAAAATATCCAAATATCTTATGTCAATTACACTGATAGGAATCTCTGCCAGTTTTCTGTCCACCCGAGGGTTTTCATGGGCTCATGGGATTGTGTGCAAGTAAGAAACAAACCTGTTGCTTCCACCCACCACCCAAGTAAACACAAAAGTTAAACCAGAAATCTTTGAACAGGCAACTCAATTATGCGAACTGCTTAGGACAATTTAAAGATATAGTTTGAGTCAATTGTCCTTACAAAGTATGCGCAGAGTAATACCAGAGTCTCTTACAACACGTTCAAGCTCCACGTACCTTTTGAGCGGTGCATAGACTGAATACTCGAAAGGATTCAACAGAGGGAATATGGAAAAGAAACCTTATTAATATTCTAAAAAACTTTCGAGGCTCTATATCCCATTCTCCTAACTCCTGGTATCTGATCCCAAATGAAAAAGACAGCGACAAAATTTCAACACACCCCAACCTCGTACTATACAAACCCAACATCCACTCCAATCCAGTCCTCACAACCCCCTCCTAACAAACTCCGCCCTCCCCCACCCATCCCCCTCAACAACCACCTCCCTCACCAACTCATACCCCCCCAACCTCGGCAAGATTTTCGCCCAGACAACCCAGTAAAACGCACCAGCGACAAAGATCCCGATCCCCACAATACAATGCAAGTAATACGGCAAAGACTTATACACATTTTGTCCATCGGTAGGGGGGACGAAGGGCGCGACGACGAGGTAGATGTTGGAGAGGAGGAAGAAGATGGTTATTGGGAGGGTGGCTTTGAAGGGGGGGTTCCATTGCTGCGGGTTGCGGTGGATGGAGAAGGGGTGGAGGTATAGGTGGACGAGGGCGGCGCCGACGAAGACGTTTATTACTGCGAGGGGGTAGGATATTACACTGTTTTTTGTTAGGAAAGGGGAGAAGGATTTGGGGGAGGGAGGGACAACGTACTTAAGGATAAAATTGTATGCGTCCCCGGGGGGAGGTGCCAACATGATAATCACAGAAACAAGCCAGTGCTCAAAGAGACCCATGAACGGAGCGTCAAACGGCTTATTGCTTGCCCATAGACGTGACCAAGGGAGGATACCCTCCCGTCCGATTTCCTGGACCAACCGACCTTGAGAGAATATCACGGAAAGAACGTTTCCAAATGCGGAGAGGGCGACGAAGACAGAGAGGACGCGTTCAGTTCTTGGACCAAACATGTTACGGAAGAATGAGGCGGCGAGGACACGGCCGGATGTCAGAATTTCTTCTTTTGGTACGGCGGCGAAATAGGCGATCTACCTAGGGCTTAGTTCTGTATTCGATTTTGGGAAGGGAAGTAGAAGGCGTTATGTGTAGCGGGTTAGAGGACTTACATTGACGAGCATGTAAAGTACGGAGACCAGAGCCAGCGCAGCTGGAGCAGCTCGCTTTAACGTCTTAACCGGATCTTTGGTTTCCGAAAGCGCGTAGTTGGCATTGCTATATCCAACATATGACCAAATGATATTATACAAGGCAGTGACAACCCCATAAGCACTACCAGTCGTGCCCTCAAAAGCGTTCGAGAAGTTATCTGGTTTCTCGATCTGGAGGTGACCACCAAGAGCAACCTATTTCGATTCGATTAGTTGTATCCAAAATCCAGGATGAAAGGGGGGATTTACAAAACCACAAACAACAATCAAAATCAAAATAAGAAGCTTGATTATCCCAAGGAGATTCTGAAGTCGTAATCCCCATTTCAAAGCTAATCCATGGAGGAGAAAAGCACTTGTGATGCAAGCTAATCCCACACCTCTTTGATTCCAACGATTCACTTCCACGTTCGCCGCATGCAAGATGTATTCCCCGAAAACAACAGAGTTGCTTCCTGCCCAACCCAGCAGTACGACGTACCCAGCGTACATGGCTGTAACAAGAAATCTCGGTCTGCGGAAGACATATTCGAGATAATTCTTCTCTCCTCCATTCCTTGGGATCGTCGTGCCAAATTCCATGTATACACAAAGGCCAGCATAAGCGATGAGCATACCGACAATCCACAGGATCAGTGAGAGGCCAATGGATCCGGAAAGTTGGAGGATGGCGGATGGGGTTGCGAAAATGCCAGCTCCGACCATGCGGTTGAAGATTAGGAAGGCGGCTGAAATGAATCCGATTTCACGGCGAGAATCGCTGGTGACATATTGTACGGGGTCATCTGGGCTTCCGTTAGAAATTATTTCGTGACTCCATGCAAGTAAGACCTCTCTACCTTGATCTTCGAAAATCGAATGGGCGGCATTGGGCTTGCGAGCGGAATCATCAATATGACTATGTACATCATCGCCCGAACTCCCAACGACGTAAGGTTGTACGTTCATAATGAAAAGCAGGAAAGAAAGAAAAAACCCCAAAACAATGCTTCGATTAATTCGATATTGGCCCAAACTTCCAGTCTGTAATAGTAGATTCAACTAACGTTACATGAATGTTCACACTATATATTTCCATGGCCGACCACATGTACCACATCACCTTGATGTTCTCATTCGCAGGGGCGAAGACGTGATATACTAAATCCGATCCAAAACGTAAGAACCAAGAGAAACGAATCGATCGCCTAGCACTAAACCACAGCATTTAGGGGAGGTGCAGAGAAAAAAACGGCCCACTAAGACCTGAATTACTATGATGTAGTACTTTTTAGGAGAAAACCCTTGCGGGAGAGGTTGGGCCAAACATGACTAGTGTCGGCTTTACCGCTATTAGCTCCCTAGATTTTTTTGGTTCCATTGATTTTTAAGAGCCCCATACTGACGATCCTATGCAATAAATGGCGTAGACATTCCACGCTGACCAACCGGTCTTCTGGAAGCTGAAAAATTGAAAGCTGGAGATGGTGGATAATGTAGATCACGTGTGTTTACTTACAGCTAGGCACATAGGTTCAACCGATTATGTGAACAAAACGATTTAATGTGTTGCGATCCGGGAAATGGCATCTTCTGGTAGCTCTGAAAAAATACCAGCTGCTCCAAGATGACACCTCTTTTCATCGTACAAGTCACAGTAAAGTCATGTGACCAATATTTCTGTTCTCAGTCCAGAGGTTGTATTCATAGCGACGCCCACTAAGACAGAACAGCTAGAAAAGCACTCCCCAAGAACCCAGATAGCAAACAAACGGTGAGTACAACAGAAGGAGTATAACCAATGTCCGGGTACCACAGAAATCACTAGATCTGTGCATTCACACCAACCAACACATAATCTCGCAAATCCAGATCAAGCGTGCGACTCTTACACGCAAGCAAGGCCTTTCAATATTCCATGTACACGGATTTGACGTCGTATTCCATTCTTTCCTCACTCGAGAATGAGAACAAAAGCAACACCAACACCCAGAATACTTCCGAAATCAGAAACCCGAGTATGTTCATCGTGGACACTTGGCATATCGGTTGACAGAGAACACTGGTTCTCATTTATAATGGACAGTGAGCGATGAAATGAATCCAACACTGCCATCAGTAGAAGGTACGCTTTATCGGTATGGTCAGTCAGAGATACCACTGCGTGCTGACAGGCTGGCAGTTTAAGCTCTAGTTAGCCACGGGAGGTAAGCTGGACTTTATCAATCCTGGTTTTATCAGGCGCTTGTATCGCTTGCTTGAATTGAGTGGGGAGGTCGTCCAGGAAACAAGTGAGTTTATATTTAGGGCGCGTAGCAGTGACAAGAATTTCGCCAGGAAGCGTGGTTTGGTGTTCTTGTTGAACTCTTTTTCATCAAGATTGGCGGGCGCTTCTTCGACCACACAAAATGCCGATTCCCGGGGGGGAGAGGGGGCGTCAGCCATGGGGTGAGGGGAAACGTGGTTCGGAGAAATTAGAACTATCATTCGTGACAATGCCAGACACCTGAACTGATTTGGAAATTTGGGCGACCCTTGAGAGTTGCTTGGTTTGGTGAGTTCCGTACATTTTGGCGAGAGATGACAACAGGAAGGCTGTTGGTCGATACAGGCTGTAGATAAGAGTGGGCAAAAAAGGGGCGGAGCATCGGTTAAGCTGTGGGAAAAGGGGGTAAACGCACAAAAGAGATGGGTTTGTGCATGTGCCCAAAGTCTTCCTAGTACAGAAATATGGATTGCTGCATGACCGAATATCAGGCTACATGCGAGATTCATTCAGGTTTGTTTAACTTTGATAGTGTAACTCTCGAGAGGAAGTACGGTAGCCATGATACTTCGTAGATAGGAGAGGAGTTGTAGGTCCTTATCATCGTATGGTGTAGAGAAAAAGGTTCTTTTGACTCGCTCTTGTTCTTGCAAGTTTTGCGGTGGCCGTGACCCTTCATAGTTTCAGAAAGAGCAATCGCGGAGTGCCTATTTGGGTCCAAGGGAAAATATCTTCGCCGCGCCCTCGAAGTGATTTTTCTTCTTCGAGAGACCTCCCACTGTGTGGCCAAATCATTTTCCATTGAGAGTTTCTTGAATTTTGAAGATCTTGTGATTTCTGAGAATTTGGAAATACGAAGGGCTCAATAAAGTATCAACAAGTTTGTCCAGGGACCAATCTTCGGTACAAGGTACTTCGTAGAAATTCGGAACTAAAATGCTTGGGGCTTCGGATCGAGGAGTCAGAGTTTATATGGCGGGTCAGGATATTATTATTGAGCTTTTCATTCGCCCGTCTCGTTTGTGTAATAATTGCCAGGCTCCGCAGAGGTTCCCGCCATCAAAGCTTCAACTCCACAGCTATTTTGACTTTAAATGGTCGTCATCTTTCGGACAAGAAGACCAGTTTCTCTGAACGAAAACTCGCTGCTAAGGTTGGAACAAACAAACAGTCGGAACACTCCAGTTTTCAGATCTTTTTTGTTGCGGAATCGTACCACGAACTGTGCTGAATGCCAGATACACCCTAGCACTGCATCTGCAACGACGTTGTACTTGAAAGCGATTTGATATCTTTGTTGTCAGTGCTTCGCCCGGAGAAGTTGCGGCCTTGGAGGCCGTTCCTGCTGTGGAACGAGGAACCTGGTTGTGGATGGACGGAAAGTGTGGGAAGATCAGCCAAGGTTATTTTCGTCGTGGGCCCAGACCATTCGCAGCGCCACAGGCACTGAAAATTGTATATGGAAATGACTCCAATAACCGCACATTTTCACTGCAGCATGGCAGAATAGAGTAGACCTCGAAAGCTTCGAAGCGAGAAATTGTTATTGCCGTTCACACAACAACAACAAAAACATCAGCACCAACGGCTGTGGTCAAACTTTTCTTCCGTACCAGCAACCATACCAATCCGGATTGGACTTGCCTATTCTTGTTACTCCGGCGCACTGTTTCCGTACAATCGGCCTTCTTCTGGTCTGGGCGGCAGCACGGTGTTTGCATGGGTGTATCCGGGGGAAGCTCGATTGAAGCAATTTCAATATTGTGGCGTCTTACTGGGGACACCGCCGTCGCACCAGGCCATACAAAAGACGCAAAGGAGCGTGGTAGTGGGGTAGAGCGATGCGATATCGACGGGGTACCTGGTTCTAAGGCGTGAACCCCCTGAGGATTATGAGGTTGTGCATCACGGTAACCTTCTCCGCCAACGCTCGGTTGATGGAAGAACAGGAAGAACAGCAGGGTGGATGAACAAAAGGGACGCTGTGCCCGCTCTCGAGATCCCACTATGTCGATGTAGCTGTCGACGTCGGATTGTACCATCTTGCCCTGTTCCCAAAGTACCTACTTCACTGTACAAGTACTGCATTGGTGTCCATTCGCAACGTCTCGCATCTTCTCTGCATCCGCTTAATGTGCAGCTTGATTTTGCCTATATTCGACCACTGCCAGCCAACGATATCGCCAGATCGAGTTCATATATAAATCCGACCGACGTTCCACTTCGGACCAGAGAAGATCTTCACCTACTCTAACTACAGCCTCTCGTTTATCTGTACTTGGAGTATCAACGCTGTTCGCCTTGCCAACCGACACCTATCACGAGTCTGAGAAGGAAAACTATACACCTGGGCCATCTCCTACCACACGGAAAAACTCAGGAATATCAAATTTCAGGAACACCTCCGCAAGGAAAGGTTCAGGAAAACGCTCTTCTTCATTGAAGTAGCATCGACAAGGAGGAGGCCTCGACCGATTCCCGTATAGCACTTTGTTTGCACCGCCTTGGGACGACGACGACCTGTCGACGCCCAGGTTCGAGTAATGCTGGAACCACGATTATAGCATCACCCCTCTCGACATACGTAATAATATCCCAGCAACAGAATCGATCGAAATGAATTTAATGATAATGGAAAGAGAGGCTCGGAAAGAAGCTTCTGGTGGACGGAGAAAAGTGGCAATACAGTCGTATACGAGTAGACATAGGCTAAACCCTGCAGCACGACCAACACGACATCATCTTTGCTCACAACACCGCCTTTTGCTCTTCGCCTTTTTTATAATATACTGTTTACCAATCTGCTCGGCGTCAGTGTTTATAGAAGGGGAAATGGTGGAAGAACCCACAGCGTCGATAGAAACTGTTTCAACGCCCCGTAGGTCATCCCTTGACCAATGGGCCCAACCAGAATCAGGGAAGATACTCGTTGATCTTTCACATCCACCCAGCCAGCAAGAATGGACCTTGTCCGATGTCAACGACGATCTTCAACGACGACAGGAATTGGGTCAAGATGCTCCCAAATCACATTCAGTCACCCAGACTGTCACGGCAACTGTTGGTGGCTCAGGAACTAGAACAACCCCTTCCACCACACTTGTGACTGCGGCCACTGATGTGCCCTCTCCTCTCCCAAGTGCTTTTGACAGTGGCTTCGGCTCCAATATCACTGCTAGCTGTGCCTCATTTATGTCGTATATGCTTCAAAATGCCACTTTTAAAGCATGTGTACCAGTCTCGATCCTACTTCAGGTATGTTCACGTAGAATATATCGAACCAGAAAGTACTAACCAAATTTTAGAATTCTGTGTCATTCTTTCAAGCTGAAAAATCCATCACTCGAATCACGCAAGTTCTTGACAACGCCTGTGCCGCGAATGTCACCAATTGTGGAAAAGTGATGTCTGCATTCGCATCTAATATTACCACCTCCTCAGCCTGTGCAGCCGACATCAGCACACAAAACCCTCTTATTAACCAAGCTCATCTTGGTCTTCTTGCTTATAAACCAATTTATACCGCCACCTGTCTCAAAAACCAAATCTCAAAATCCTATTGCTTTGCCGAAGCCATCACCAATGCCACCAACCCCGCCGACACATACCAATACTACCTCCCTCTAAACATCACTTTACCCGGAGGAAGCCAACCGACTTGCAACTCATGTTTACAGAACTCCATGGCCGTATACGCAGCCGCCACTGCCGATCGATCGAGCGCTTTAGCGTCAACTTATGTCGGAGCCGCGATGCAAGTAAACGTCAATTGCGGACCGAACTTCGTGAACGCCAGTCTTGCAGCAGCAATAGCAAACAGCGGCGCGTCGAGCCCCTTAATGGGCACTAATTTCGGCTTGCTGGCTGTGGTACTTGCTGTCTCTAGCATACTCTTATAGTAGAGCTGACTACGGTACATACGGGAGGGAAAGAAATCGGGAAAGATTGAAAAGTCTTTTTCATAGAATGGGCTAGGCAAACGGTGTTTTGTATTTCGGCTCTTTGGTTTTTCTGGTTTTTTGGGTTTGTTGTTTTTTTCGGCAGGGTTGCGAGAAAAAATGGGCAAGGCGTCTATACCCCAAGGATCTGGATGGGGGTTTTTTTGATTCACAGTTTTATGGAGTTTTAGCACATCTCCCCGCTCTCAACAACAAGGGAGTGGCGGATTGATGATTGGGTTTCCCCTCCGGCACCCCCGCTTTTGTATTGGGGCACCTGGGGATGGAGACGGTATTTATGGTGGCTGGACATATTTGCCAAAAAGACATATTGTAAGAAAGGCACGGGACGGGATGGATTGGGGATGAGGGGATGCAAACGTGCAATGGCGATCAAAGACTATGTGAGCGGAGAGACTCATACATGACATAACTTCTAGTATGTATATTTTTTTTCTACGCTGTATAGCTTTCTCTAATGAAATGTCACGATGAAAGAAGGTTGTGTATGCAAAATTGATTTTTTTCTCTCTTCTTGTTTGTCTTGCTTTTCAGATCCTTCTCTTGCTTCCCTGCTTTCACGATCGCTCACCTACTGTATTTCCTACGAATCTCCTTCGCCGGCAATGCTAACAGAGCTGAGAGCATTAAGACAATCAGGCGAAACTGTATGTTAAAATAATATTATTCTAAAGGCCTCGCACAACTAGAACCATTATCCGAGTGATTTAGAATAATTGTTACTTCTCACTCCTTATTAACCTAGGTGGAATAGGACGATTAAGTTACTTGTGCCAGACCTGTGATATAGTAACTTCGGATGGTGTGTACAGAGTTTCGCCCAACTGTCTTCCTCACCCCCGCCTCCCTATCTCACCTCCTCAGGCATCACTACCACCCACGCCTCTGGAAGGAAGCGTTAATGTCGTAGCATCAGCACATTACATTACATTAGCTCAGGATTTCTTCCTTCATCCGCTTCTAACGCCCTCTGCCATCTTACACTTGTATGTAACCATGTGAGATAACTCCAAAGATACGAGTGATGAGTGAGGGATGAAATGTTGTAGGATGGAAGTGTCTGTATTGGGATATATTACGAGTGTGGAATTTTCTTGAATCTTGATGGAGTAGCCTTTGGGGCGTGGGGATTTGGGTTGGATTGTGGAGTGGAATGGTATTGCCGGATTTTGGTTTTATGTTGATGCCTGTACGGAACGCGGAACGGACACTTCTATCAGAGTGAAAAAGTGAAAAGTGAAAAACTAACTAAAAGAGCCTTAAATACCTGGTTTTTTCGTACCTCCTGTGTTAAACTCTTACCTGTCTACTACGTGCTACCTTGGATTTTAAGACCTTAACTAACCTACCTAGTACTACTTGTCTACCTACTACTCCTGTTACCGCCCCCCTTCTCGCCTCCCTATAGTACCCTAAAAATGGACAACAGAGAGGAAGTAAGTAGGCAGGCAGGCAGGTAGGTAGGCAGGTAGTAAGCCGGCAGGGTGTGATGTAGTCAAAAGAAGTGAAGCTATCGTAGAGCTTAGGTAGGTAAAATATTACTAGAATATAGCTTGAAACAACTATAGCTATGCAAATTCTAAACAAGAGTCGATGAATTTAGCTACAATCCTAGAGAACTCCTCCCTTACTACCTTAGAATAGCCTTAAATTCCCCTCCTTCTTTTACTATTCCTTTTTGTACCCTTCCTCCTTTTACCCTTCCCTGCCCTTAGCCCTTACTAATATACGCTATATACTTAGATGGAGAGTTGTGTTGAGGTTGCAAGAAGCGAGATGTGGGAATTTGGAAAGGAGAGGGAATGGGGAATGTGAAGTGAGGAATTGTGATGTAGATGGCGAATTTGGGGGGAAGTTTGTTCACATAAACTCATCTATGTAGATTTCTGAGGTTAAAATAACTTCAAACTCGTGTATTGTTACCAGAAGTGTGATGTTTGGTAATAAATGAGTTTATTTCCTTTGCCAGTTCTATTTATCTGATAGTATCATTCGGGAACCATAGACATCCATCAATCAATTCATACTCAAAACTCCATTCGGTCTATGCTTCTTAAAACCATCCCGTTCCAACATCACAATCCCCCCCGTACTCGGATCCATCACACACCCAAAATGGCTCGTCTCATTCATAACCGGATATGTTTTCACCCAAGAAATCAACGTATCCATCACAATACTAGGTCGTACATCTTTTAAGGCTGGCTCATATTTCTGCTTGTTTTCGTGCTTGGTTTTCACGGCTGCCCATTTGGTGGCTACGCATTCGGCTCGGTATTCACTGTCTTCGATCCAGAAATTTAAACCAACTGGGGAGTGTTTGATGGTCTGTGGTACGAAAGATGGGATCTCTTGGTCGTGGTTGGTGTGGACTATGAATTGGGTGGAGGTGCGGAGTTTGGAAGTGGAGAGGTCGCGTTCGATTACTGTGGTTTTTGTTCCGGAGCAGAGAATTAGGTAGCAGGGCGAGGATTTGATTGCTTGGAGTGTTTTGACTGATTGAAATAAATCTGGGATTGGAGTGTTTTTATTTGGTGGGAACAGTGCTGAGCGAAGATGAGATGCTATTGAGGGACGGAAGCCTAGGGGTACGAGGAGTTGATGAGCTCGGAGTGAGACAGTTGAACAATAGTGCACAGGACGGAAGTTGAGAGAAACTGAGAGATCTTGCCTGAGTCGAAGCTTATTAGTATCTATTCTTCCAGTCTAGGAGAGAAAGACTAACCTCACTCCTGTCAACACACCAACAAACCCAGCATATGGAATTGACCTAGCAATGACTCTTTCCGGCTCCCTCGACTTCGACCTCACAAACTCCAAAGTAACAAGTAAATTCCTCAACCCATCCATACCCCAATCCAAAGTCCTAAAATGCATCATCTTCAGTCCCTGAATCTCCTCGCCATTCCCCACCTTCCTCTTCCCTCGTACCAAAACGCCGCCACTTGTACAACCCAAAAGACTATCTAATAAAACATTCAACGCCACAACTATAAACATCTCCACACCCGAAACCCGTGCTATCCCCCTCATCTCCTCTGTCTCTTCATCGGAAAACACACGTCTGAGAAAGATGGACGCTAGGAATTACGGTGAGTGGAGTTGGGCTGGGAGATGAGAGACTTACAAACGGGTTGAAACGGGGTCCCACAGCATCTTATGGGCTCGTTTTAGGCAGCATTGACGCTAATGAGTGAGGCCAAATACGCCTGATCTCAGCATAGGATAAGTTCGTGACAACATCTCAATTTTGCACCGTTGATGGGTGTTTTATGAGATTCTCGTCATGTTTTATACTGGAGATAGAGAGTTTGAGTTAGTTCTCCCAGAAGAAGTCATGGTACTGCTAGGTGAGCTGAGATTGGCTCCCAGTGAACACAGAATAAGCGGCATTGGATCACACCTTTGTCGTGATTCTTTCCTTCTAGAATATTCTAGATAGGTGATTGACCTCAATCATATAGGTCAATTACGCTGTTTAGAAATATGTGTTACTACTCTTCTTGCTTACCACGAGATTATATCAGATCCGTTCAAAGGAAAATGATTATCATGCAATGATATCTATGAATTGATGAGCACGGAGCAGATCGTCAAAGAAACAGAATATACCATGATATTTTTGATCCAGCGGGCCTTTGTTTCAACAAAATGTCATCTTCGGTTGAAACGATCAGGCCGATTACTCGGAAAGTAAGAGAACTACTCAAATTTTATGGGCGATTTCTGTTGTCAGGTAATTACCTCGAGGTTTCCAGAAGCTTGTGAGTCGTACTCCCGTCTACCCCCCGCTGTATAAGAAACCTGGTCATTGCTCTGTACACGCTATCAAAATTCATTGTACCAATAGTCTAGCACAAGTAAATTGATTGTCCGATTTCGCCTAGGTTAATAAGGAGTGAAAAATATTAATTGTTTTAAAGTATTCGTGTAACTGATTTAATTATATAGGGTCTTTGGGATAATCTTTTTATAACTCAGGTGTGTACGGAGTAATGCCCGCATCTCTTACACGCGGTCGTGCTCGGTGCTGTAGCTAGGGCTATGGTATGAATAGTGCCTTGCCGCGCAGGTGATGTAGTTCCAAACGGCAATTACCACATGTTCCCGCCATCTTGTTACTCTAGGCTATTCCATTGAAACACGTCCCTGGCAAAAGTTTCTCTACCACGCTACTACCGAGAAATATCCTGAACGTTGGTACGCAACATTAGCAGGAGGTAGTTCTGAGCTTCACTGAATATGTGAGTCAAGTGTCATCACAACTTGGGTCTTTGAGAGATTTTGTGGCTTCAAATGACAAGTGAATAGCCTTTTGCTCTTTGGCATTGCTATTCACCTGGCTGCGCAACTTACCAGTGTGGCTGCTACCACCCTTCCTACAAATACTTGGTCTAGCCCTGTCTGTAAACCTCTTCACACACCAAATTGTCCAGCAGTATTCTGCCTCATCTTGCAAACTCTCAACTTTCGCGGAGCCCACCTTGCATCTCCAACAACTCAAGCGTCCTCTACTAGCGCTCTACTGGGCGATATCTAGGTATGCACTTTTGATACACTTTGCATTTTATTCTCTAGTTACTAATTACTATCTCAAAGTTGCATCATCATCCCCTCCATCTTGCGACATGGCAGCCTCCACTCATTCGTCTGCTGCTACAGCGGACGAGATCGTTCCCGACCTTCAAGTACTCCCCGCAGAGCACGAAAAGTTGCTATCTCAAGTTCCCCAGCAAGGTCGCGACTTTCTCAGCAGTGCACCCTTTTACAAGGCAATGGTTGAAGCTGCGCGTGAAGCCAATACTTTACTTCTTTTCAATGTCGAAAACAATGATGCTGTTACCGAGTCCCGCCGATTTCTCGCACTCAAGATCTATCTTCGTGATAGTATGGCGAACAAGGTTAGTCCTACTCCACTTATGGATGCGGTATGGCACTAACTGATTCTCAACACCCAAGTCTATGAGGAGCTGCAAAATCAAATTGGATTAAAGCTTCATCATCGACCGTCTGGAGCTTCTGATGCCGAGGCTGGAGACTGCAAACTTCGTTTGGCCTTTATGAAGTTTTGGTATTCGAGATTCTTCGAACGCAAACCTCTCGTATTTGGCGGTCCTCGAGCATCCACCCTAAGCATTGCTAATCCCGGTACTCCTGAGGCCAAGAAGGAGGGCACAGTTATGCTCGAGATCAAGCTTCTAATTGGCAGGTCGACTTTTGTGGACATGGAACACGGTGATACAATCGAAATCATCAAGTTGAAGGTACAGGACAATGAAGGCGTTCCTAAGGACCAGCAGCGACTAATCTTCAGAGGTCGGGAACTTGCAGACGGCCGAACTTGTAGCTACTATGGCATTGGGGATGGTGAAGTCTTACATTTGGTCCTTAAACCAAGAGGATGTTGATACGCTTGAGGGCTTCCTCCACGGATTTTCGGATGCGTTGATGGAAATTTCTTTTCAAAAAAGGCTGGCTATTAAGGAAGTCGTTGAGGAAAACCAAGTTGTGTCTACAGATTTGATTTTCACAGGCATACGACGTGGTGTCAGCAAAAAATTCGGATAGGGCAAAAAGGCTACTAGGTAGTTGATAGCTAGCAAGCATTGCAGGAATAAGAGTGTCTACATCATATCGACTTTTCATGACCAATATATGTGGTCCCCTTTCAGCATGCCATGGAACTTGGAATAGTTTACCGGTGTCCCTTCCATAATCTCGCGTAAGCTCTTCTTCGCAACACTTTCAATTAGTAGAAGTTTGCGCCAACAACCTTTTGTGATTCTCTTCTAACTATATCACCCGGAAGCGCTATGGGTTACATCATAATTCACATGTTAGAAAGGCAAGTCGTATCCCTTGCCTGTCCCAGACTCCCAGTAGACGTGGCTGGTTTTGAAGTCCTGGTTTAAGCATCGTAGATTTTCTTCACGATCTAGGTCGAAAAGTCTAGTTAAAATGATGCTATATTTGTAGTCATTTATGGGTACTGAAGCAATAGTGGAAGGTGAAGTGTGTTAAAAGTGTCTTTTCCAGGGTAGAAGGTACAAGTCTCTATCCGAGAAACGAGCGAAGTATTCTTGTTTAATAACATTGAAATTCCAACTCTAGACAAAATAACCTTGGCTTTGGTTGAGTCTGGTGAGTTATACGCTAGCTGTTTACTATAGGAGGATAGTAAGGGTTGTATCTATTAAGTAGTAACTCCTGGATTAACTACGAATTTGAGAAGTACACAAGGCACACGCTTATATATAGTATACTGGAAGAGACTGGTAATCCCACGTCTGAATAAGACACGAGCTTGGTTAAAATTACTGTCTGGCTGAAATGTTAACTTTCTTCCGACCATTACTATTCTTGTAATAGATATCGAGGGTAGTAGTAAATACCTGCTCTACTTTCTCCAGGACTTAAACTGATTATCCTAAACCCTTGAAACAATCTAACTAATTGTCTAAAACTAAGCTAATAAACTAACATGCTTCTAATTAGCTAAAGTGTCATGAGAACGTAAGCGATCCAACCTCAGTCATCGCTTAACAACCCCACATCTCACATTCCACAATCCACCCGTCCACTCAAAAACAAAAAAACAATAAATTAAATTCTTTGTAAAGGATTTGAACCTCAGATTCTCTCTGACGGGGAATCGAACCCCGGTCTCCCGCGTTACAGGGTGTAGTCAGAGTCTGAAGACTCTACTCACATGACAAGCGGAAATCATAACCACTAGACCATCAAAGACGTTTTTTGGATGAGAAGCGTTATGGTATTTAGTACTTTGATTGTGGGATGGAGAAACTTTGGGAAAAGTCTGGGAGGTGGGGTGGGTTTTTCACATGTGTGTGATAATATGGTACAGTTGTGGGGCTAGGGCTTACATTGTGCTCCGCACCGGGATATTCCCATCTTGCTTCAGCTTTGGGATAAAAGGAATGGGATAACTATACTTATAACGATGAAGCGTTTCTCCGGCTCTCATGGTACAACGTGGAAAAAACCGCGAAGATAGCCGGCGCAAGTTATATAGTAATTACTTAATCGCACGATACTAAAAGTTGAAGTGAATAGCTTTCATTGCTTGGAATCACCTTTTCGGCATTTTGAAATAATCGAAAACAGTATTCTGATATTTTTAAATCAGGAAATGTAATTGTCCCGAGAAGAAGGAATAATAACCTGCATTGTTCTAAAAAGATAGAGCTCCTACGTTAATTCACATAATAAAATCTATATGGGTGAAATATCCTGAGCCAGGACCTTTATATTTGCCGTTAATTTCGCTAGGATTTTATATTGGCTATTACCATCTATCTCAACTCGTTATATATATTAATCCTACAAATAAAACTATGTAAAATACTAAAAAGAACGTGTTCTCGCTTATGTTCTACTATATATACATAAGATAATTATTGTCTAAAGCATCTGTTTCGAACGACTATTATAGTAATATGGTTTCTGTTACACTATTACCCCCAAGTTTAATTAGTTAATCCTAGGAAAGACAACGTAGAAAATCAAGCCATCATAGTAGCGAAAAGAAAGAGCTACTACCACCAAACACTATAACTGTATTCCAAGATCAAATCCCGTGTCCAAGAAATGTCTAAAAACCCATACCAAAACCAAAGCGCCTCGGGGAACCCGTAACCAGTTTCCCCGACTATTTAACCAGGAAACGACGTTTTTAGTTCAAATCCTAAGTCCTCACTAAAAGCAAAGACAACAGAACCAAAACACATCAGGAACAACAATCGGACCGAAAAAAGGGCCTTCCCTTCCCATTTCCTCACTAACAGAAAGAAATCATTGGCTGCTGTCCAGCCACAGATATCCGACTCGCATATTCTACAGTGAAGGTTTGCAACCCTGTCATTCTTCCTCACTTCCCCACGCTACGCCACACGTTCAACTGCGGGGGAATAATTCTAGATGTCTTCTAGCGCCTCTAGACGACGCTAAGCTTATAGGATGGGAAAGTGAATGAAATGCAGTTTTGATAGGATGAGTTAGGTAGTCTACTCTAGTGCTACTGAAAGCACTGCATCCTTGACCCCTGCCATCTCGCTTCAACGAGACATCCTTCTTTACAGCAACAGAAGTGGTGAAGTTGAAGTGCCGTCCGTCACCACACCCCTTACTCCTCGCCACCACTCCTGACAGTCACACTACGGCTTTTTAGTCCTCGTTTTCGTGTCGTACCACCGAACCTGCATCTCAACGATATCTAACGGGCCACGGGCTTCTCCCCGCAATCAGCCATGTGTCTCTATTCCGAGATTTCCCTGGTTGACACGAATATCAGAGATACTGCAATCTATCCTCCGTACCACCACGTCTGGCATCCATACATCCATACTCCCGAGGGTTTTTCGACTTCTACGATACCTGTGTAAAACAGAAAAGCTCCGCCCATAAGAGGCGAGCGGCGCGCATTTGCGGGGAAGAACCTTAAGTAGTCTAAGAAGATAATGCTTAACTCTAAAAGATTTCTTGTCTGAGGTCATGGGTCCCGCCTCTCAGAATCTGGGGAAGACGATGAAAATGAGGTGCTTAGTGGTGGGGTAGGGTGGGGTGGCTTCGGCGATTCCTTGCTGTGAGTTGCGTTTTACTTGTAATTGGCTGATGTGAAGTGCAGATGTCGCTGCATGTGCCTAGACTAGGTAGAGTTGAGTAGATGATCTTGCAGAAGGTTCTTTTCTAGGTAGGTAGGTACTGTAGTGGATGGAAAAGTGGTAAAGCAGAGAGAGGAGTTCTTGTCTGTTGACGTAGATAAGTTGTTTTGATTTTTAGTTGTTTATGTTTGGTGCGTTTGTTTAGGCTAAAACAGGATGGTTAAGGAAAATTCTACGAGGGGTATGAGAATTGAGATAATTATCTTCGGGTGTCTGAATAGGCCGATGGTTTGGATCTACTTGCGCTGATAGGAAGAGGAATCTCTGTCACTTATAAAACATTTTACTACGCAGTATTCTTATAAGTTATGTGCTTGAAAGTGTTGCTACTGTCGTCTTAGTGATATCATCAATACCCAGTACTGACCTTTTTCTACAAACTTCTCCACACAGCATCAATCTGCAAGGCTTACAAAGTGAGGCCATACTACTGTATACTACTCACATCAAGTCCTATAGCCAAGCAACCAAAAAAACAAACATGGATAATACATACCACAAACGCCATATCTGCAGATCTACAGTAGCAAATCATCCCGTCTTGCGGCTCCGATACTAACCATCGTCCCCAGAATATGCATGTAGTATCTGGTCAACGGCGAGGCCGACCCTCGGGATTCTTTGCGCGTTCTGCTACTGTACTTTAGCTTGCGCGCTACCGTAGTCGCCGGCGACGGCAGAGCAATCGCGATTCGCTTACAGTATACTAGCGCATCACAGCTGCGCGTTGCGGTTCTCATACAGCAGTCGACGAGCTGGACCTTCATATTGTTCTCATCGGAGGAAGGTGAGTATAAGTATCGCCGGTTCCCTTGCTGGGTTTGAGCATCAACGATTGAATTATCATCCTTTGCGGGATCCTCTTTCATAATCTTTCTCACACTCACACACAACCACCGAAAAGCAAGATGTTTGGCAAGAACGAGGAACCGGAGATCAAGGAGGTAACAATATCATTGTTCATCTTTAATTTTCTCAAGCCGCTGACATTTCGAAAGGTCCTTGAGCAACGAAGACCTTCCGCAGGTGATGCGATGCACAATACTCATAACCTGTCGGTTTCGAATCGAGGTCTTACGGGTGCCTCTGCTTTGACAGTCCGTCAATCGATCTATCCAATTACCTTGGTAACCATTTTGTTTTTTCTATGGGGTATGTGACTGCTCACCTCGCGACTTTCTCACTTTTATCAAGATTATCTAATCGATCTACAGGTTTTGCATACGGTCTTCTGGATGTCCTGAATGCCAAGTTTCAAACTGCTCTCAACATCACGGCAGGTAAAGCTGGTGGTCTTCAAGGCGCCTATTTCGGAGCTTACTTTATTGGTCCTTTGACATATTCTGGATGGATTGTCAGAAAGTTCGGATACCGCTGGACATTCATTGTTGGTCTTTCTATCTATGGTATAGGAGCCGTATGTGAAATCTCCATGGCGCCAGGAAGCAAGCATATTAACGTGGAATAGCTTATGTTCTGGCCCTCGGCAGTCTACCGAAGTTTCCCAGGATTCTGCGGTTCTCTTTTCATCGTCGGGTCTGGGCTGTCGACTCTCGAGACAAGTGCAAATCCATTCATTGCGACATGCGGACCTCCAAGACTCTCCGAGTTTCGTTTGGAGCTGTCTCAATCATTTCAAGCTGTTGGGTCGGTCATGGCTCCTCTGTTAGCATCCCGTGTTTTCTTCAGTCATACTGATCCACATGATTTGAGCAAAGTACAATGGACATACCTTGGAATTGCCGCATTCGTGTTTCTTCTGGCCGTGGTTTTCTTCTTCTCTCCTCTACCAGAGGTTACGGATGCAGATATGGCCTTGCAAGCAGAACAATGCTCTGGACTTACCGGTTACATTGACAAGCCTATACGCCGACAGTACAAGCTCATGTTTGGCGTGGCTGCCCAGTTCTGTTATGTTGGAGCGCAGGTATGTCTCTTGCGAACAATAGCCCGAACTTGGCAATATGCTAACAAATATTAGGTTGGCGTTGCAGCAAATTTCATCAGATATGCCGTTGAGTCAGCCAATATCTCCGAAGCTGCTGGATCTGATCGCTATGCTATCGGCCAAGGTCTCTTCGCAATTGGTCGTTTTGCAGCAGCTGGTCTCATGATGGTTATCAAACCTCGTCTTGTTCTGCTGGTATTCATGACGTCCATCATGCTGTTTATAGCTCTCGCTGTTGGGATCAAGGGCAACGCAGGAGTAGCGTTTCTCTCACTCGTTCTCTTCTTCGAATCCTGCATTTTCCCAACCATCTTCACACTATCAATCCGCGGTCTGGGCCGTCATACCAAGCGTGGATCTTCTTGGATTGTTGCCAGTGTCAGTGGTGGTGCTTTGTTTCCCGCGCTTACTGGTCTCCTCGCAGACAAGAAAGGCTACCATATCTCGATGACTGTCCCTCTTACAGGATTCTTCATGGCCTTTGCATTTCCAATCTACCTCAACGCTTTCTGCCGCAAGGAACTTGATGGCTTTAGTGCAACCAAGATCGGCTATGTAGATGGCGATGGTGTTATTGGTGATGCTGGTAGAGAGGAGAGAAGACCAAGCATTGCAAATGCCGAGATGGGAGAAGTTGATGGGTTGGAGACGTACAGTTCCACTGAGAAGAAATAGTGATGGGCAGATTTGAAGGGCGGGGTCTTTATAGGCGTTGCGTTTATAGTACAATCTGAGAACCAGACTCAGTTGCTGCTGATAGATTCGCACCTTTTACAGAGCAAATAGAACACAGATTAATAGCTTCTACTTCCATGCCTCTCTTAAGTGGTCAACGCCACCAGCGCCGTTGACAAAAGGTAAAATTTTCATGAATTAGAGAAGTAAAATTCTTTCCCATTGAGGAACTTTTATCCACTCGAAGAATTTTGATATCTTAAATGTTTCCAGTAAGAAAAGTATTTCCACAGATATCTGACCAGATGTAGGATTTGAGTTCTTCGAGATGAGTTGTCGGCTTGTCCCTGGAGCTTAGTGCTCACCCCCCTGCAGCAACCCCGCCAGAGCTAAGCTTCACCTGGACTGGGCTGGCTTGGACCTCGGATGACGAATGTTTTGAGGTCCAGATAGCTCCCACTACCGCTACCACTTTCCATTGTCGAGTCCGAATTCAACATCATCAACATCGCTACTTCCCTTCTGTATCGCTTCTCCCTCCTTCCCTTCCAATGGACCCTTGAGCTCCCTCATCGCAGTATTTTTGCTCCGCCTGGCAGATCCAAAACTCGCGCCTCCCCCCAACCAACTTCAACATGAAGTGCCGCGCCCCATTTTCGTTCGTTCCCATGGCTGTCACCTTTGTGACAGTGCTCGTCTACTTGGGAATCGGCATACCTCTTCTCGTCCTCCATGAAACAGTCCCAGCTGCTCCTACGGATCCGACGCGCTTCCGTGGACTCAATCTTACTGAAGCTTGGTTGGACTTGACCCAGCTCACAAACGGCTACCACCCTTTCAACAGTCGGAAGAACGATGATGTAAGGGACTGGCTCATGAAGACAATCGAGGCAATATTGGAAAAGAATCATGTTCGATGGACGGCAGTCAGCGAAATCACAGGCACCGCGGAGCAAAATGGGCAATTGAATGGGGCAAAATATGATGTCGAACAACCAGCAGCTTCATTCGGAACTTATGACGCCGATATTACCCATGGAGACCTTCTAGTCCGCGAAAATTTACCCCCGGTTGTTGTCTTTAATGACATGCTTTCGAATTTTACTTCAAATGCTCTCACAAAGATTGGAGCCAGTGGTCGGCGACTCGGTATCAGTACCTACTTTGAAGGCAGCAATATTGTCTGCTATATTCCGGGCACCGAGGATGAGGCAGGAGATTGGTGGAATTCATCGTCTATTCATGCAGCAAAAATCCATGGCAAAGGAGGAGTAATGGTCAATGCCCATTTTGATAGTGTCTCTACTGGCTATGGTGCAACAGATGATGGTGTAGGTGTTATCACCGCATTGCAATTGATCAAATACTTCACAACTCCAGGCAATGCACCTAAAAAAGGCGTCGTGGTTCTATTCAACAATGGCGAAGAAGATGGGTTATACGGAGCCAAAGCTTTCTTGTCGCATCCAATGGCAAAGTTTGTCCATACTTTCCTCAATCTTGAAGGCGCCGGAGCTGGTGGAAGAGCAACACTATTTCGAAGTACAGATACCGAAGTCACTCGTGCTTATGGAAAATCTCGGCATCCATTCGGCTCAGTCGTTAGTGCTGATGGTTTCTCCCTTGGATTTGTTAGAAGCGAGACAGACTATGTAATTTTCCGTGCTGAAGGCTACCGTGGGCTTGACGTTGCTTTCTGGGAACCGAGAGCAAGGTACCATACCAACCAAGATGATGCCAAACACACCTCTAAGGATTCGCTCTGGCATATGTTATCCGCTTCAGTTGAAACGATGCGATATTTGACATCTGATACTAGTGGTACTTTCATTGGTCCAAGAGGAGACAACGACGGTGACAAAGTGAAGAATGGCTGCGGGACTGATGGGGTATGGTTCGACATATTTGGAACTGTATTTGCAGTTTTCGCTCTTCGCACCCTTTTTGCCTGGTCCTTGACTTTACTTATTGCATCACCACTGATCTTGGCCTTGGTAACATACCTTCTTATCAAGAAAAACAAGTTCTACTTTTTTGCTGGTTCCGTCAAACCGGCGGGTCATGAATCGGAGGCCGTGCCTCTCAAAGGCTGGCGAGGAGCCACTCGGTTTCCAATTGTACGCAACATTTTCTTTATTCGCACTCTTAAGCTCGTGTCCCTGATGATCGGGAAACCTTTCTTACTTGCTCACTGCTCTTGGCCCCTCATTCAAGGAGGAAGATAGAGGCTAACTATTGTAGGCTTTTATTATTGCCGGTGCCATTACGTTCGGAGCCGCATTTCTGGTCACAAAGTTTAACCCATTGATTATCTACTCATCTCAGTATGCGGTCTGGACTATGTCTCTCAGCCTTTATTTTTGCGTTTACTGGTTCATCATGGCTGGGTGCAACTTTGTTAGGCCTTCCGCTTTACATCGAGGCTACGTTTTGCTCTGGATGTATCTTTTTGGGTGGGCTTTGCTTGTAGCAGCCACTGTATTCGAGGACAGATACCACATATCAGGTGGGTATATGTTTGTCTTTTACGAGGCGGCAATCTTTTTGGCGGCGTTCATCGGACTTTGTGAGCAATTCGCACTTCCAACCAAAAGTTCCGTCGCCGAGGCTGCTCATGATGACCACGAGACGAGAAATGGGCTTGATGCTGTACCGAGTTCAGACGGCGTTGTTGACTCGGGACGACGCCCAAGTCAAGATGATAATGCAGATCCTACGGAGGAAACCCCATTAGTTGGTGGTGAACATCGTTCTCCCATTGGTTCCACGTTCGTCAGAATATATCGCAGACCTCTTCCTGCTACAACTGATGGTGCCGACGACGATTCATATGACCATGAAGATCACCCATTTGGGGGAGAACAAAAGTGGTCTGCAAAGATGCCAACTTGGACTTGGCTGGTCCAATTTCTACTCTTGGGTCCATTTATCCTCGTCATCATTGGACAAGTTGGACTCTTGCTCGTCACAGCAATGAATCAGACCGGTACTGATGGGAGCCCCCTATTGCTTCCATACTTGATTGTTGCCTTATTCTCGATTTTGATCCTTCTTCCCCTCAGTCCATTCATTCACCGCATTACCCACCACTTGCCGACTTTCCTCTTTCTTATATTTATCGGTACTTTAATATATAATCTTGTTGCTTTTCCTTTCTCCGGGCAAAATCGATACAAAGCCTACTTCCAGCAGACTGTTGATCTGGACACTGGCGTCAACCATGTGACCGTCGCCGGCCTTGAGTCGTACGTCCGACAAATCATTGCCGAAGTTCCATCTGCTGCAGGACAAAAGATTGATTGTACGACAAAGTCAGCGATTCGGGATGGTATAAGTTTCTGCTCATACCATGGGCTCGCCCCAAAAGTGATCGATAATGTGAAAGCTGGTGTACCACCAGAGAAAGGTTATCAAGATTGGCTTTCATATAATGTTTCTCGGGTATCTGGCGAGAATAAAGCCAGATTTCATATATCAGGCCAGGAGACTAAAGCGTGTATCATCCGCTTTCAGGATCCTTTCTCAGCATTCAGTGTTGAAGGCGCAGCCAAGAGTGATGGGAAATGGGCTGATGTCCCCGAGAGTGGTAGCGATCAAATCAAATTATGGCACCGAGATTGGAATCGCGAATGGGTCGTTGATGTTGAGTGGCCCGTCTCGGCTGGGAAACAGGTAGGTGAGGAAGGACGAAGTGGGAGGGTTGTGTGTCTATGGAGTGATCAGAATGTTCCCGGGACGATCCAGGCTTTGGATGAGTTGCAGAGATTCTCACCTCAGTGGACTAGCATTGTTAAATTGATGGATGGATTGGTTGAGGGGAGTAAGGCGTTTGTTGTTTAGGTCTTGCTTGCTTGCGGGCTGGCGCTGGGGTTTCATTATGAATTTGGAATGTGGTATGAATGGGGGATATGGCGGGTAGGAATAGGAGTAGAGGTTAATGTGTAGTAATAGCCGAGGGTTGAGCTTTGAATACATAAATACAGTAGTTTTCTGATGATGACTCATTGAGTGTGTAGTGAGTAGCAAGGTGTTTTCAGGTACAAACGAGAGTTTTCTGGACTTTACATATTGTAATGCTTCCTGTATGGGCTGGGGTTGAGGGTTGGGAGGAAGGGGGGCAATGGGGGATGGGTGGGGGGATGTATTAATACCTGTCTTGCTGTGTAGGTATTTGTTAATTTTGTTTTCATATATACTTTTGTGAGAGGAGGGTGAAGAGGTGTGGGGTGAAGTGAGTACCGCTTGTGAGTTTGTGAGTGCAGTTCGTGGCTACTTACTCAAATTACCGAGTACCGCGAGGGAAATGGTTATAATGGGACTCGGCCCGAAGAAAAAACAATATTCTGTAGCCCAGGCTTCTATTTGGGGTTTTGTGCATCACAAGTAGCTCTTAGGATATAAACCTTTTCTTATTTCCCATCTTGTCAAATGGGTATCCTAATCTATACTATCATCAGTCAAGTAGTCAGAATCATAATCCGTTTCCTCCTCTTCCTCTTCCTCTTCCTCCTCCTCCCCCGAGGCATCACCCTCCCTCCCCTTCGGCAACGTACAAAAATCCCCAACCCTCTCCTTCTCAAACTCCAAAACCCCCACCCCCATCTCTGGAACCTTCCACCTCGCAAAATCACAATCGATCCCCTGAACGGCCTCAATATACGTTTCAAACGACCCCAAAAACTGTCGATGCGTCTCCAAGTCCTCAATCTCCCCCGAGTCCCAGTTGAGCGCAAAGGTCTGCCTTAACAACTTGTGATCCACCGACGTATTCACGTCCAGGATCCTAATCTTTGGGCTTGACATCCTGCATTTGCCCGCGAACATACTATCATCCGCCACGAAGTGGAGAGTCTCCAGATTCGCACATCCACCAAGCAGTGTACGGTCTGCGCCGAAATTGAGCTTGCCAATCGAGTAGGCCCGCTCGGGATAGGGCAGTGGGTCGTTGAAGCGATCTCTCGGCTCCAAGAGGAGGTTCCGGACGAAGATGTCGCGGTCGTAGAGAAGTGCATCATTACACGAGTTATCCGGGAATGGGATAGCAAGGTGACGGATCCTATCCAGCGCCAGTGTCCGAACCCTCTCACCCTTGATCTTCTCCTGGTAGAACTTCTGCCTGAGAACTGCTCCCTCGTGTCCCTCTTCTGGTAACATGTTGTAGAGGTAGAAGTGCTCGAGCGTATCCCGTTCGTGAGGGTCGAAGGGCGGGAGGTAAATCGTGTCCCGTAGGGGATTCCAGTAGTTCCTGTCCAGAGGGGAGGGTTCGCGGCCGAAACCTAGGAGGAAGGTTTCTTTTGCGAGGGCCCGCGAGGTGCGGCTGATGTGGAAGAGGACTGGGATTTGGACACGGGCTGTGTCGCGGATGATGGGGATGGAGGGGTCTTGTGTGGTGTTGGAGGGGGTTTGGGGGAAGGAGAGGCGGATAACGCGGCCCGGGGGGATCATGAGTTTGAAGATCATGACTTGGATCTCCAGGGGGAGGGAGGGGTTGGTTTCTTGAGATGGGATGAGGTTGTTTGGTGAGATGAGATCCATGGTTGACATTTTGGTGGTGGATATGTAGAGAGGAGATTTTGATATGATTTGGTTTTGATATGTGTTTTGGAGTGAAGTAAAAAAGAAGTATCTTTCTTAAGGCAGTAAGTGTAGTACTCAAAGAGTTTGCTGGTGAAAAGTTAAACAATAAGTTTGAGGGTTGAAAGTGAACAAGGGCATAGCAGAGAAACATAAATAAAACAAAAGAACCTTCTTCTACGCTAGGAGTAGACGATACCAGACCAACCTACAAGTGTCTGGATAAAAATGATGAAGAAAGAAAGTCGGGCGCTAATTATGACCAAGGCGAAGCCAGTGGTATAGTATGAGGACCAAACAAAGCCGGCTTTCCAAATGAGAGTAGAATATGAGCTCCAAATTACAAGCTACAAGCGAGGCCGTCGGGTGACATCGTTCAAAGGTGATGATCTAATCCAAATTGGTTCGTAGATGCAAAACATGAAAAATGAAACCGCAGCATTTATCTACCACAATTATAAACTCCCTACTTATCTCTACAACCCTCAAGACTCTCAGTCACGGTTTCGATGTCCTTACTTTTCTCAGAAAAACCACACCCCAACAATGATACAACCCAAAATATTTTAAAACAAGTTAACAGTCTACTTAACAAGACTGAAGAAAAACGGTCTTTCACACTACTGGTAAACTACACCACCAGATCTCATAAATTTCTCGGTACTCCAACGTTTTGACGAACTAATTACAACTCGCCTATTTTAGCGCCACGCCGCCAACGGGAACGTTAACCGTTTAGCACCCGACGGTTATTTATGAAGAAACATGCATTAGTTACGCTAAATTGGCAAATATGGAGATTAAATCAAATAACTGGTGTGTTATAATGGAATAATAAATACTTGAGATCTGTAGCTATTAGCGATGGTCTTTATTGACTTGGATGTTTGAGAGCTGCTACCTAGGTAGTAGTTATGGTAGAAAACATATGATAGTATACTAACTGTATATCTGAGTTATTTTGGATTTTATCTCGATCTTTTGACGTTCATATACATATTCGATATAAACTCTACACTCTACTATATTCAGTAACTCTAAATCAAGGACCCAAATACACCATTTCTCTTAGACAGGGACTAGACCTAGGAGTAAGAAGGGCAAGAGTCCATTCAAGTATAACACTGCCATTCAAGGGTAATAGTATTCCGAGGAAAGTGGGAGAGTAAACTTTATTGCCGTGTCGCCATCTTGAAGTGAACAAAAGCAAGAATAAGGATATTAGCGCTTGAGTCAGTCTAATTCGTATCCAACACAAGACATTCTGAAGTGAGCAAAAAAACAACAACAAGGAGATTAGCGCTTGAGCCAGTCTAACGGGTTTCCAACTCAAGCCATTCCCAACGGCTCTTGTTGAGGGAGTGAAAAATCCGGCGAGTGATTTTTGAAGTAGAGCTGAGAGAGGGAGATTGACGGTCGTGATTGTGAGTGAGAGTAGAAAGTTGACGATTGCGATTCGTGACTAAGGATTTACAATCAGGGATCACAATTGAGATAGTAGCAAATGAATTGATTAATACGTGTATTAGACGGCGCTTGGACTGAAAACGACTCTGAGGATGTTAGGGCTTGCCAGCATTTTTGAAGTTAATATAATATAATATATAGTCTTTTAAGGATGAACTATGTGCTAAGGGGTATCTATCTACGATGTTTTTAATGATACTAATACTATTGTTAGTACAAAAGCGTATACATAGAGCATTATTTCAAGCCTCATTCAAGAGTCTTATTCTGAATACTAGCATACTTTGTATAACCAAAGCACTTTAAATTACGAATGAAGTTTCGATAGCGAATACACTTTATATTATAAATGCGCTTTATACCATGAATATTCTTCATGCTATGAATAATACTTTGTATCCCGAATGTATTTTCTACTACGAACGTACTATATACCTTGAATATACTTTATACTACGAAGGTACTTTGTATTACGGATATACCTTATGATACGAATGTACTTCATGCTACGAATGTATTTTGTACCGCGATTATACTTTATGACTTAGTAAACTATGCTAGAATTCGATAGTATTACTAATCCCCTTATCTTAAATAAGTCCCTTAGCCGAGACTCCCATCTTTCCTACTTGACCTCTGTCTCGGTCACCTAACACCTAGCTAGTAATCCAAGGGCTTCCACTTACTTCAGAACATTCTATATCATCTATTAAGCTTTGTCCTATATCATGATAATTGGTAGTACTACCTTGGGACTTGCGCTCGTCTTTAGATAGAGAGCCTTTCCTCAAATCTGGTGCGTTACCGACCTGTCCTAGACTAAGGCGCTAAGAACGCATTTTGGTCACTCGTATAGTACTTGCGTACTTGCACTTATACTTGGGCTTTTCATTTGTTAATTACCTACTTGGCCCTTTCCGGATAATTGAGCTCACAGCTCTGAGTACTCGTGACTATCTCCCAACAAATAACAGGCTCCCGGCTCGGTCGATTCTCCAAGCAATCAAGAATCCACCTTCCGCAGGTCTTATCATGGAACAGTCGAGAGCGCTCGCCACTCCCAGCTTAGGAAGGACTTAATGATCGACTTCTTTTACTACTAATCCGATCTGCTACCATCCATTCTATTCTCATTTCGAGCTGCTCTCTTGATCGAGCATTTCTATCAAAAACCAATCCATTTCTGCCTATTCGGAACAGCCCCGACTTGCCCCGTGGAACAGTGGATATCCTACGTTAAGATTTCACGTAATCAAAAGCCCCCTTTATTAAGCGAGCCGATCCCATTTAGGTTACTTTAAAAAACAGAAACAAAAAGAAGCCCCTGCGAATCAGACGACATATACGAAATCGCCAGGGAAATGGGATGCTTAGAATGGATGGATTACAGAAGGTACATGCGAACTCGCTTAAAAGGAAGTTCGAAGCATTTAATAAAACAGAGCCCCCTTTAGATGCCGTTTTCTATCGCGTACTACGCGATATACTATTCCTTTCGAACAGACACTTCTCATTTGTTAGAACATTAATTAATGAACCTACCTTTTATTTATCCAGGATATATACAAGTATTAAAATATAGTATATATAGATACCGGAACATAGAATTAGACTAATATAAACACCTATTTTAGGATGGAACCGATTTACATTTGAACTTATATTAAGAGTTACATTTGAAATCTATATATGTTTAGAAATACCCCCGACCTAGACTTAAACTAGTATACTTATTTAGATATTAGATTAGTCCTTATATATTATTATAGTACGTCCCCTCTTATCTAAGATAAGTCTCTTAGCTAAAGCTTCTGTACTTACTACCTTACCTATCTCTCGGCTACCTTATGTCTACCTAGTATTTTAGAGGCTTTCGCTCGGTTAGGGATATCCTATAAAACGACCCCCATTTTCTGTGACGACACGTACGATATGTTGCTCAAGGAGCGTCCAAGGTGTAGGTTATGGAATCGTAGAACTGTCTATTCGAAGATTCTAAGCTAAGGAGAGAAGAGAAGGAAGGACAGAAGCTCAAGAGCCAGAGGCTCTTAAATACAGGAGGTGGCGCCAAGGGCCATGCCTCAGCCGAGTCTCAGCCAGGGGCTCGTTTGACGCATGGTGGCCGCCGGGTTCCAGCCAGGGCTGGTCTGTAGCGTGGTGGCGGTGAGAACCGTCACATTTTCCCTCTCGCTAGTTTAATATACTTATTTTATCGTATATTTAAATAATATCCTATCTATTTTCTAATTACCAGTAGTACTACCTTAGGCCTAGAGCTTATCTTTAAAACGATACTTAAATCTACTTATAACAAAGTAGCCTTAGCTCTAGTACTAGAAAAAGACTACCTATACGCTCTATTAGAAACTATACTTACGAGCGTAGCTTATACCTTTTCGATATTAGCGGGATACCGAAGAACTAACCTATTTCTATCTAGAGTAGCCTTAAACCTAATACCCTATATTATGTATATTTAAAGATTCTCTTATAAAGTAAGCTACCTGTGACGGTTATGGTCACGAGGGCTGGATGTCACATGCTCGCTTAGCGAGGCGCTAGCGCGCACGACCTGTATTTAGTTCCCAGCTCTCTTGAGCTCTCCTTCTTTCCTCGTCTTTTGTCCTAAGAATAGAGTGTTAATTGTTCTGAGTTCTACCTGAAGCACGTCTGTCACACTACCCTACTTACGTTACTTTAAATATATACTACGAACGAGCCTTATACCCGTACTTATAATTATGAGAATAAACCCCTACGAATTATAAAACACGTACTTATATAAACGAATAAAAATCAACTCGTTAAGGAAATAAAATAGTTAGAATAAATAAATAGAAGCGTGCTTTATACTTATTAAAAAGTAGGTAGAAGTAGAGAAAGTATAGAATAATATAGAAATAGACTCTTTTCTCTATCTCTCTTAGAAATTATTTTTTAATTATTTACTAATATAACTTATTAATCATTTAAACTAATACTTCTTATTTATCAAGATATTACTTAGTATACCCGACTTTTATTTATTTTAGAAAGAATATATTATATTAATATAAAAAGAGTATCAATTCGTATATATAAAAGCCGGAATATAAACTCAGAACTTATTTTTCTCCTAACTTTAGAATATAAACTACCTAAACTTCTACGTATACTTAGACTTATATTTAAACTCGAAATTAAGAGAAAATACTCTAGTATTACTAATCACTCGAATAACTTATAAAATAAACCCTAACTTCTTTAATCTAACTAATTAATATAATAACCCTTTTCTTTATTTATATTTTCGCTTTTTAATTCTTTACTACTTTTTATATATTCTTTAAAATCTCTATTATTCTAACCCCTTTAAAACCGCTTTTACTTTCTTTCCCTCTTTCCTTATTCTTAACCTATAACCTAAAATAAACTCTAACTTTTTTATACTAACCTTTAAATAAATCCTTTCTTTTATTTCTTTAAAACCTCTACTATTATTAGTATAGAGATATCTGTCGAATTCCTAGAAGGAATCTAATAGAATTAAGTAAATAAGTAATAGGTAGTTATATCCGTTATTCGATTATTAAGGAGCTAAGTAAGTATAGGAGTTTGAGTTTTAAGTACTCGAATAAAGTAGGTCTAAAATAACGTAACTAAGGAAATAGAATATATTATAATACTAGTAGTTCTTTATAAAGTAATAAAATAATAAAATAATAAAATAATATCTATAACTTCTATAACTTCTATAGTATTAGCTAGCTCCTTTTTACCTAAGCGTTTACTTATATTTTAATTATATTTATATTGATTAAGTCCTTTAAAGTATTATTCGCCTTTAACTTTATTATAGCGTTAGTAGGGTTATTCTTACCTTTAATCTATATTAAATAGTTAATATTCTTAGTTTCGAATATATTATAAAAATATATTATATAAATAAATCTTTTAATTATTAATCTCTTCTTCTTAGTTATACTAAGTTTAATAAGGTAATCGTATATTAATTTCGAGTCTATATAGACTTTAAGTAGTATAAGTTAATGAAGAATTCGAGATAAGGTAGTCTTTACGTAAATAATTATATTATATCCTTAGTTAATAGTATAGAGTTCTAAGGCTATAACGCTCTAGGTAACTCTCCTGTACTTTATTAAGGCCTAGTATAAAATATTCGCTTTATTGTAATAGTCTATAAGAACTAGGACCGAACCTAGCTAGAAGGTATAGTCTAAGTTATTTATGAATAATCTATTTATAAAGTAAGTAAGTTTAAGTAAAGATTATTTAAGTAGAATAAATGTCACGGATGCCAACAAAGGATAAAGTGTATACAGCTTTTGAATCAATTGCTAGAACTAAAACCGTAGGTACGAAGAAATCAAACTAAAGAGAGAAGAGAATCTGAAAGGAGCGAAGTTATTTAGGTTGTTCCAATGCCAAGTCTCATCACGTGCTTGGCCAAGCGAATGAAATCCTGTCAAATGAAATCCAGCTCCGTCACATATATTATTATTAGGGTCTTCTAGTATAGGTACTAGTATATTAGCTCCTGACCTTATATATTTAGATATAGTATTATAGTAGAGTACTAGAGATAATATAGAAATAAAAATGGTGTGACGACACGTACGATATGTTGCCCGTGGGCGTCCAAGGTGTAGGTTATGGAATCGTAGAACTGTCTTATTCGAAGATTCTAAGCTGAAGAGAAGAGGAGAGCTCGAGTCTACATACATGGTGTGGGTCGCTAAGCGGCGCCACGTGATACAAGTGGCACGTGATGGTCAGAACCGTCACAAATAGTAAGTAATAGTAAGTTTATATATATAAATAAGTAAGAAGAACTATAAAAGTAGTTATTACTTACTAGTAGAATAGTAGAGTAGTACTAATATAAGAGCTTATATAATAGTTAGAAAACCAGGGTTATTTATTAATATAAGAGTTATTTATAATAATAATAATTTATTAGTAATATCTTTTATTAATCTTATAGAGATATATATAAAGAAGAGTTTCTTAAAGAAATAAACTAAAAAGTATATATAAAAGTATTATTTTTTTAAAGTATTCTTAAGTATTATTTATTCTACTACTTTAAAGTTAGACCAAGATTAGTTTAATATATTAGTAGCTTCTTAGGGAGTCTTAGTATTAAGAACCTACTAAATAAATACCTTAAATGATACTATATATAGTCTTTCTAAGAAAAATTAGTTTATTCTAAGTCCTCTTATAATAGTTATTCTAGTATATAAGTATTATTAAGTCTTAGTATAGAATCCTTAGTAGGAAAGGATATTATAGTGAAGGTTTAGTTTTATATTATTTATAGTAAGTATTAGTTCTTAGATAAAAAATTTAATTCTATAGTAGTTAAATAGTAAAGTTATAGTAGAATCTTTATAAGATAAGTCTATTATTTTTAAGGGTTTAGTATTAAAGGTAGGATTCCTAGTCTAGCGATTTAGCTTATTTAGAGGCTTAAAGCTAGTAGTTAGAATCCTTAAATTATTATCTTAAAAGTACTTAATTAAAAGGTTAAGTTTTATTATTTATAATATATATAAAGAAGCAAAGGTAAATTATTATCTCTATTTATAAAGTCTAATAATAAAGTTCTACTTTTAAAAGAATATAGTAGTATAATAATAGGCGGCCTAGGATTATTTATTATATTCTTTAAAGGTACCTAAGTTAAGGTTACTTAAATTAAGGTATAATAAATTATATAAATAATATATTATATTTCTAATTTATAAATACTTACTAATTAGTATTAGTATAGAGATATCTATTAAATTCCTAGAGGAAATCTAATAAGATTAAGTAAATAAGTAATAGGTAATTATATCCGTTATTTAATTATTAAGGAGCTAAGTAAGTATAGGAGTTCGAGTATTAAGTACTCGAACAAGGTAGGTCTAAAATAATATAACTAAAGGAGTAGAATATATTATAATAATTCTAACCTTTTATAAAAAACCCTCTTTCTTGAACCCCTTATTAGAGAAAACTTTCTACTTTCCCCTTCTTTTTCCCTTCATTATTTCCTAACCCCCTTTTCTAAAAGTCTATTATTCTACCCTTTTAGAACAAGAAGGAAAGTTATAGAAAGACTAGAAATAATAGAACAGAAATTACTTTAATATATTATTTTATAGAGAAGTATAGTTAAATACTTATCTTAATTATCTAAGCTATTTTATAAAATAATTCTTTATAAGGGTAACAAAGAAATAAATAACTCCCTCTAATTAACCCCCGAAAAACAAGCGAAAATTCGCCTATTCTATTAGTAAAATCTATATTTTCACAGGTAAATTCATTTTTTTCACATTCATTCTCACATTTTCACAAGAAAACTCATAGTATTTCACGCCGCGAGGCCCTCTCATTCTTATTATCTACCTCCCTAAACTCCAAGCGAACCCCCCCCATAAACACCCGTAAAACCCCCTCGCTAAACCCACCATCTACCAAGTTTCCTGTGTAAAGAGACGGTTCTTCACCATCTCCGCGAGGAGTTTCTCCGCCTCCTCCCGCGACATTCTCCCATGGAAGCCCAGAATCCCCAAAAGTGCCGCCCGAACCCTCCGCGGCATCCCCCCCGAGCTCCCGCAGAGCCAAACCGAAGCACCCCCCTCCACCATCTCCCAGACCAGCTTTCCCTCGGCCCGGAGGGCATCCTGGACGTAGTACTTCTCCCGCTGGTCGCGAGAGAAAGCTGGGAAGACGGTGAGGAGGGCTCGGTTGGCCTTCCATTCCTCCTGGTAGAAGTAGTCGGCCCCTTGGTTCCGGCCTCCGAAGAACAACACAGTCTTGGCTCGATCGGCCTCGTTTTCGAGCCGAGTACAGGCTCGCTCCAAGATTAACGAACGTAGGGGAGCGATGCCTGTGCCTGCACCGATTAAGATGGCAGGTCTTCTGGGATCCGAGCCAATACCAGCTGTTCCACGCTCAAATGAGACGCCGGCGAGTTCACCAACCTCGAGAGATTCGATGTATTGAGTGCAAAGGCCCCGCCGGATCTTCTGTAGTACAGTTTGGTATTTGACGATGGCAACAAGGATTTGAACGTGATAAAAGCCAGGGTCTTGTGTATCATTCGTAAGGTCTCCTCCACTACAAATACTATATTGGCGGCCTTGCATGAAAGGAAACGCGTCGGCAGCATATGTCCAGGGTATCTTGACGCTAGGAAAGTCTCCAAGAACCTCCAAAATGCTTCGTCGGGAGCGTACGGCGTAATCAAGGTATTCTTCGGTTCTGGCAGGGTTGGCGAAGTCAAGTAATCGGGTTTTGTGGAGCGGATCATTGGTCCATTCAGAAATCTTCCCAAAGAAACGGCGTGTTGGGATAGCGGTAATGTCGAGGTTATGGGTAAGGAGCTCTCTCAGGGTAGTTTGATTGACGGGGTGAAGTCCCCTGATCGGGCTTAGCAACATGTTATCGGGGAACGAAGAGCCGGCTGCTTTGAATACGGTCTTGGTTTCGGCCATGGCTTCCCAGTCGTTCAAACAAATCAATTCTGCGACCGCATCAGGTGTATTGTTGGGGTGGACTCTCAAGATGTCACCAGGCATTGGACGGCCTGCATTGGCAGGCAGTCTGAAGGTAAGTTGACGAACGTCTTGCCAATGGTTGTCAGCCGTCATACGCTCGGTATGCAATAACTCGACCCTGGGCCCTTGCGCGCCTGGCAATTGCACTTTTTGATTGACTGGTGGATCGCGATCCAGTAGATTGGCGTCCAAGTTGACAGAGTTGGTGATCTTGCCTTTGACGATAGTTGAAGGTTGGTGTAAGGCTGGTGTCGAAGTTGATAAACCAGCGACTGGATTCGACCACACTGAAGCTACAGACTCCTTCAATCCGGTGCGCAGAGGCTCTGCAAGCGAAGACTGCAATGATGTTGGCGAAATTGGTGTAAGATTTGAGGATGCCGGAGTCGAGTTCAGAGTTGTTGATATGGAGCTCAAGGGGTGATCTAAGGTTGGAACAGAGATTGAGATTGAGACTGGAGACGTCATCGTAGCAAGCACGCTTGATTGTGGTTGCGATCGCGGTGGGGTTGTAGGTGACTGCAGGGACTTTGACAGTGTTGTTTTGCCCGAAGCCGAAGCGAGAGCGATTGTCTTTTGGATAGCCGCACCCTCAGCCGCATCTGTACCAAGCAACGACCCTGACTCCGGATCCGAGTCTTTTATTTCTGGTTCTAGATACTCAGAAGAATCCTTCAAGTTCTCTTCCTCCACCAATTGAAGAATATACTTTGGGGGAAGAAGGACGTGTGGTGGAATAGGCTCTACTCCATCGGGTAGAGGATACAGGGAGAGAAGACGCTTCCCAAAATCTGCCGACCACGACAGATACGTCCCATCAATTCTGTTGCAGGTCAGTCAGCGCTATCTGATATCCCTTATAGAACCACCACAAGAACCAGTCTTGTGGTCCAAGAGGTTTCCATAATAGTGAGTGCTGGTACTGATTGACATAGGTACTCACCCCTCATGATGTTGTTCATCTGCCTCGCCGCGCGGGTATATCTCCTTTGCTGCTAGCTGTTCCAACCGCTTATGCAGCTTGCGAGCGGCCCAATTGAACCTTCACCCAAGTCAGAAAACGAGTTCTACGCACCGCACTGCTTTGCAAAACACGCAGCAGAGAGAGAGGGGGGATAAGCATACTGAACATAAGAACTATCGCCAAGTCCAAAGGTCGTGAAGGACACACGACTCAAGCAATTTGGGGGCAAACGTTTTCTGAGGAGGTTTCTCCAGAACTTCCTGGCATTTCTCGGTATGTCACCCAGACCCGTTGTTGAGATGACAAAAATGATGACCGTGGCTTTATGCAGGGCATTCTGTGGCTGCTGTCAGCGCCTGTACTCGTACTTGCAGAATCGGAGCATGGATTCGAGAAAGAAATGGGAATGGAAATTTGAAAAAGAAGACAGAAACGATAAGGAGACAAAACGAAACGCGGAGATATAACAGACATACAAGTTCAACGGCATCCATTTCGCAGACCTTGCTTGCGAAACGAAGCCTCTCAACTACATCACCCAGGCATTGTGCCACCTCTTCGCTGTTTCCTGTCTCAGAACCAAACAGAATGAGGGCGCTTCTGTCATACGGCTGGCCAGGAACTACCTTTGCCATGTTGGAGGATGAGAAGGAGGAGGAGGAGGTGGTGGTGATGGAGGTGGTAGATCGGTTGTCGCGAAGAGACTTTTGGCTTCATCTTCCGCATCTGACAGCTAAACCGGCTATGAGTCGGCTCAAAACAAAAGAAACGCCACGTCACGAGACCGTAACGGGTAAACATCGGATCGCTGGAGAACCCAGATGATGAGCAGAATGTTCTGAAGCACCTGCAGGTACGACCGCAACAAATTGGTTTACCAGAGCGTAAGTTTGGATGGTCTGTACGCAATATAAGGAAACTTTGTTGTCATTCTCACGAAGAAATCTGAAGTGTACGGATATCTTGGCTTGGAAGTCACATCAGGAATGAGGTCCGTTAACTACCTAGTACATAGGTAATAGAAGGACAGATATATTGGTAATAGATAAGAACAAGAAAGCTTAGATGAGTTTGCGTTGCCCCTGAGTCTTGAGGGAGGCTGGAGGCTCCACAGGGCCAGCAAGAGGTAAGTTTACCGTAGCAGACTGCAGTCACAGTAGGTAGATAGCCTTGCACAGCGAATGGCTCTCTCTTTCCCCATTATTGCTGCAGTCGGTATGCACTTGCAGTAAAAAGGTGACGCACGCAAAATTGGTATGCTCTGCGAATCTGGTCACGTACACCGTACACCGCTCAGCAACTGAACAATACTAGCAGTAAATTCAAAGGGAGTTATTCTATGGTGAGTATGAAGGTACTTGAGTATAGGTATGAGTAGGTACAGCTTCAGCGTTGATGCATGGCATCGCGGTTGCCAGTGCAGGGTTGATTTAAGGGGTACCAGTAGCGGAACTTCGTCTGATGTTTGTGTACTTGCTCCGCGCCCCATGCTCCCTGGGTGACGCCTTCTCTGGTGACTTGATACTTCCACCTCATCCCCAACCCCTACGAACGACAACCACGACCACCACCCCAACACGGTGCCATTCACTGCTGCCACTCATTGAAGTTGACGCTCCCACTGCTACTGCCAGTTGTGATGTGACAGAAGGTGCGATCAGGCCGTGAATGGGTTCTTGCCATGCTCCGCTGGTGCAAACCCATTGTCTTGACCAGGCTAGTCCCGTTTGAGTAAGAGCTATCTCGCTTAGCGCAAAGGGTGCGGCTGTGGAATTTGTTATAATTCTGGCGACACCTGCCTCTCTCCCTCCCTTTCGAAACCACATCAAAACCAGATCCGCTCGAGTCACCACAACTTTCCACTCCCCATAACAAACCAGACTTCTAGGGCACCTAGCTACCCTATCACTCCCCCACTTGTGCAAGAGTCAATAATACTCAGCAACGTCGACCATTCCACACACACCACAAGCTATTCAGTCAAACAACCCACCATATCTCAACATGTCTGCCATTGTGGAGAAAGTTTCTGACGCCGTCAACGACGTAACTGCCGCTCTTGGCAACACAACGATCTCTGACAAGCCCGCCGACACTGCTACTGGCGGTGACAAGGCAGCTAGCACTGCTCACAATGAGGCAGTTCTAGTCAGCGCTGCAGAGGGCCGTAGACTCTATATCGGTAACCTCGCATATGCGACTACTGAGGGGGAGTTGACTACATTCTTCAACGGATACTTGGTGTAAGTTGTCCTCAGCCTCAGCAAACTGCTCATTTCCACCACCCCACATTTCCTGGACAATGACTCGACCGGGCTTCATACTTTGCAATGTATCTAGCTCCGAAAAGTTCACAACATTCCAAGCTTCCTGTACTGACATTGCTTCCCACCTAGTGAATCTGTATCAATCCCAAAGAACCCACGTACCGACCGACCAGTTGGCTATGCATTCGTCGATTTATCCACCCCAAGCGAGGCTGAACGTGCCATTTCAGAGCTTTCAGGAAAGGAGATCCTCGAGCGCAAGGTTTCTGTACAACTTGCCCGCAAGCCGGAGCCAGCTGGTGAGAAGGGAGAGGGTGCTGCAAGCGGAGGTGAAGGTGCTTCTGGTGGAGAGGGTGGTCGTCGCCGCCAATCTGGCCGAGGACGTGGTCGAGGCCGTGGCCGTGCAGGACGTGGCGGACGTGCTGCCAGAGGAGTAAGTTGAACTCACCATATTTGCATTGCACTTTTACTGACTACTTCCAGTCCAAGGGAGAGGAAAGTGCTGAAGCCCCAGCTACCACCGAGGCCACAGCAACCGATGCTACCAAGGAGACCACCGAGAAGAGCGAGAAGGACAAGGACGGCAAGCCACAAACTGCCCGTCAACCACGCGAGCGTCGTGAGCGTGGTCCTCCAGCTGATGGCGTTCCATCGAAGACCAAGGTCATGGTAGCCAACCTTCCTTATGATCTCTCTGAGGAGAAGGTAAGATACCCCCATCTGCAAATTCTACTACCGTTCATTCCTAACCTCTGCCATAGCTTAAGGAGCTTTTCGCTGCTTATGAACCATCTTCTGCCAAGATCGCTCTTCGTCCAATCCCACGCTTCATGGTCAAGAAGCTCCAGGCTCGCAACGAACCTCGCAAGGGCCGTGGATTCGGTTTCGTTACCCTTGCCTCCGAGGAGCAACAACAAAAGGCTGTCAACGAGATGAATGGAAAGGAGATTGAGGGTCGCGAGATTGCTGTCAAGGTCGCCATTGACAGCCCAGACAAGACCGATGACGACGTAAATGCTCCAGCTGCCGAGGCTGCTACTGAGGAGAAGGCCACCAACGGCACTGCCGCTGAGGCTGCCGCTACGGCTGCCCCAGAGGCTACTGCTGCTTAAGCGGTAGTCGTGTATTATTGTACGATGATGAGCGCTTCATTTCGCAGAACAATATCAGATGCATTCTTTTACACGTTGCTTTTGGAACATTGTTCGGCGCCATATGGATCGCACTTGCGGGAAAGCTGGATTTGTGGTGCATTGAGTTTCCAATGAACCTGACCAGCACTTTATGATTTTCTTTTAGGTGGGATCATTATACCTTAGGTGGGTGGTTTTTGATGGGGTCTTGAAGAATTTTATTTATGGATTCATGCTGCCCACCGAATTCTATCAAGCCAACGGGCTAATGATTCTCGATGACTCTTCTTACATGATGTGTTACTACCATTTCTCCGGCACTCTCAGGGTTGTACACTAGATTCTTCGATGTGTTATCTCGGGATAAGGATGGATGGGAAAAGTTATTGAGCGGTGGAATTCCATCGATAGTAATGACAGATCATAAAATATGCATTCGCGAGTGGTTTTGATGATGATGCGTGATTGTGAAGCGTATCCAATTGTGCTGTAGACTTGGTCTACTCTACTCGTAGCAGCTATCAAGTGCCTCTCTCCGTATATACTCGAGACCCAAGTATACAAGTAGCAAGCAGCTATGTCTATACGTCACCTACCAGTAGTGTGCGAGTAGAACAATTTCTATAACGAGGTCCATCCAGGGCCAGGCTCGCCAGGCGACTTGATGTGGCGCCCTTTTGTGGCTGAAGCAAGAAATTCGTAGCCTTGCATCTGGTCAATCATCATTGGCTGTTGCTTTCTCGAGGACACCTCCTTTTCCAATCTGGCACCGCACCAGACTCCCCGCTTCATTTAAACTCCAGACACTCACTCACTGACCTCTCGCCTTGTACCCTTTCACGCTTACGTATTTCAGGACCACATCTACCAGTTTCAAAAACCTCACAACGTTCTCGAGCAAAATCCAATTGTCCCCGTTTATCAGGTGCGATAACTGCACCATCGTAAGGGCAACTATGGCCAGCAAGGCGATGTGGGAGGTCGACCCAGAGACAAGATCCAAGGTAATTTGTTTCACCCAATGTCGCCGCATGACCTCAGTGTACTCACTGGCACATTGACTGATTTTTGATTACAGCTTCTTGAGATACAAAAATCCTCTGGGAACGACCGCTGCGCCGACTGCGGGGCACCCTCCCCGCAATGGGCGTCTCCTAAATTCGGGGTTTTTATTTGCCTTTCTTGCGCTGGAGTACATCGTGGCCTTGGAGTGCATATCAGTTTTGTTCGCAGTATTACTATGGATGCGTTCAAGGCTATGGAGATTGAGCGCATGAGACTGGGAGGTAATAAGACGTGGAGGGATTTCTTCGACGAGGCTGAATCGAACAAGATGGCTGGCATAACGTAGGCATATTTCTTTTTCACGGCTTGGGACCGGCCTCAATTCTTGCGATTGTTGCGAAAGAGTTCTGGCGATGTTGTGCTGATTTATGAAAATAGTTGGGATGACGCAACTATCGCAGAAAGATATTCAGGAGACGTCGGTGAGGAATACAAAGACAGATTATCCGCCAAAGTCGAAGGAAAAGACTACGTTCCAAGTGCCAAACCAGCACCAACCACCCAGTCTCTCTCCAACAGCAATTCCGATAGTCGAAGTCAAACACCATTAGGCTCACGAACAGAGAGTCCAAGGCCCGATCGTACTGGTAAAACCAAGGTAGATGATAAATACTTTGCTGGTTTAGGAGCAGCGAACGCAAGTCGACCAGCTGATTTACCGCCTAGTCAAGGAGGAAAATATGCTGGATTTGGAAGCGCAGGTCCAGAACCACCTAAAAGTGAGGCTGCCTTGCCTGGATTGAATGATTTGCAAAGGGATCCTGTTGCTGCGCTTACTAAGGGATTCGGATGGTTTACTACGACTGTTACGAAAACTGCAAAGACTGTTAATGATGGATATATCCAACCCACCGCTGCAAAGGTACTACTTTTTCTCTTCCCAGTAAATCCCAATGTTTGCTAACAATTGGACAGATCGCAGAAACAGATTTTGCTGCCCAAGCACGAATTACAGCCGCGACCGTGGCCAAAGGCGCACAAAGCGGCGCAAAAGGAGCAGCAGACGGATTCAATCGATTTGTGGAGGGACCAAGTGCTAGTGGGTACAGACAAGCTCCCATTGACGAGAGCAAGAAAGATTTCTGGGACAGCTTTGCGGATGCGGGAAATGCGCGACCAAATAATTCTATTGGGACGAATGCTATGAAGCCGGGAGGCGGCTCTAGTCAGGGATTAATGAGTGGACAGGCCGGTGGGGCGGGCAAGAAGAAAGACGAAGACAATTGGGATAAATGGTAGAGAGAGAGAGTGGAGGTAGGAGTTGGGGAGTGGAGGAATGCATGATGAAACTCGAAAAGAATGTATATGATCTGCTTGGGGGTTTCGAAAACTTGCGTTGGTTGGGTAGACAGACGCAAACGAAAATGTAGGTTTAGGAGTCTTTTGATTTTACTTTTTTATTTTTGGACTCTTTGGATAGAAGTACGGTAATTTTTTTCAACAAGCAAACGGGATTTCTCTTGCTGATGTTTCATTCACTCTTTAACTCATTCATGCTACTGGTAGCAGTGGGATGACACGCTGTCTAAACCATCATAGACGCTATCCAATCTCCCTTCCTCATCTCCCAAGTACTAACATTGAGATTGCTACCTAGCTTCGAAACTACCGTTACAGTACGCGTTGAGAGGTAGTACGGTATTACAAAACGAACGAGGTCAAAACCATATAACGCATTTCTGAAATCTTTCTTATACTTCTTTGATTGATAGGGGAAGGGGAAGGGGGGAGAGGGGGGGAAAGCGAGAGTTCAGCATGGTCCATGAAAGTTCTCAGCAAGTCGGGGGTTACAGTAAAGATTCCGCTCACGGGGAAGGAAGACTTCAAGTGTCGATTTTTTGAGGTGCAGCCCTTGGTGCGATGTGCGACAACACTTTGATAGTTCCTGAATAGGGAAGGGTAAAGTAAAGATAAGGTGGGTGGTATATTCACTATGTATAGTATATCACGGCGAGATTGGGGGCTGGAATCCTTCTGTCGTCTATGGATCTTTGAATTGCGTCTTTACGTATGATGTCTTAAGCAAGGGGTGTGAGATTGAGTATTTATTTACCGGCACCGGCAAGGTTTATAGTCCGATAGAAGCTTGTCGTCTGATGAAAATTGAAAGCGTGCGGAAGGAGTTATGGTATGGATAAAATAAGTGACGGTTTTTTTGGTGGTACGTGAGAAAGATTGAGACTTATTTTGGACATTGCGTGGATGGTGGCTAGTGATTTTTGGGGTCCTTGAGAGAGGGTGTCTTTTTGTTTTCTCTGTTGGAGGGGTTTAAAGTTTTTTATGGGTTTTAGGGAATGATATGAGGGGTGATTTTATATGGAGAGTGATGGGATGCAGGGAGATGTACTACTTTATCTGTTGTGAGTTTTGCATCTTTATTTCGTTTTTCCCCCTTTGATTTTTGTTGTTTGCCGAGACGGGTACTCGTAAACCCACTTTCATCCACCCTACTTCCCTACAAGGTTTTGATAAGCGAGGCTATGAGTAGCGAGCTAATCGTGGTTTTTTTGTTATGGATTACGACCCTGATGGTACAAGTAGAACGGCAAGAGTTTAGGTAGTAGGGACTTGCACGAATCCCTGATGCGGTGTTCCTCTCGCTTAATACAGTGGCGAGAACGTAAGGAGAACCATAAACCCTAAAATATCCAGGATAAAGAATCCTACCGTCTTAAAACTCCTAGGCAAAAAAACACTCCCCAACTCTCCAACCCTCAACACCAAAATAAAATCACCCCACACCAACTAATCCTCCACCCATATAAACCTCACCCTCGTCGAATCATTCATACTCAACGTCAACTTCACCGAGCTATCCGCCAGCACACGCCTCGTCCTCTCCCGCACCATCTTGTCACTCTTCCCCGGCAACGCCGCGACCTTCAGATGGTGTTTTCTGAAGAGCCGCGCGATCACGGCCACGAACTCGACTTGGGAGAACTTTCTTCCGGGACAGATTCGTGGGCCTGAGGCCCAGGGGAAGTATGTCCCTCGTGGGGGAACGAGGAGGTCTTCGTTGAAGGGAGTGGAAGGGCTGGTGGTGGGGATTAGCCAGCGGGAGGGGCGGAAGGTCCAGGCGTCTTCGAAGGAGGAGGGGGAGTTGGGGGTTTGGCCCCAGTAGTTGGTGTCGGTGTGGGCGCAGGAGAAGTTTATCATGAAGAGGGTGTTGGGGGGGATGGTGTGTGTGGTTCCCTGGATTTGGAGGGTTGTGGGGGTGTCTTCTGTGTCTCGGGGGAGGGTTTGGACGGGACCGAAGAGACGGAGGGTTTCGTACTTTGGGGTGGAGTTAGTTGTTGTATCTCGTATCAAGAAGAGAATATGCATAGGGCTGGGCGTGGGGATGGGTTTGGGGGTGGGGTATACCATAACAGCAAGACACCTCTTAAGCTGCGGAAACACCTTCTCATAATCCCCCATCTCTCCATCACCACCCGGCCCAAGCACCGCAGTAATCTCCTCCTTCACCCAAGCCATCGCCTCCTCATGTGAAGCCAACAGCGTAAGCGCATACGAAATCGTATTCGCCGTCGTATCATGCCCCGCAAAACAGTAAATAAACAGATTCCCATAGATCTCATCATTACTCAGGTAGTTATTCCCGCGGGACTCCTGGTCCTCCAGATCCGCAGCGCGTAAGAGGGCGCTGACTAGTGTATGTTTCTCTTTCCCGCCTTTCTGCAGGGAAAGACGCTCTTCGGCTACCATTTCGATGAGGTATTGTTTGAATTCTTGTATCGCGGTGGAGAGCTGGTTGTTTTTGTCGGGGAGCAGGTTTCGTAGGGTCTCTGGGAGGGAGCTGGAGAGGATTACGAAGACGAATTTTTGGAGGACGGTGTGCAGGGATTGTTGGAAGGAGAGGGAGTGGCCTGGACTAGGGGAGGAAACGGAGTTGAAGTCTGAGGAGCGTCCGAATCCGGCGCCGAGGAGGACGTTTAGTGCGAGTGTTAGTGAATCTTTGTGGGTTGTGGAGATCTCGGATCCTGGGACGTAGGTCCAGAGGTTGAGGAGGGTGGTGGCTTGATGAAGTGCTTCGGTCCAGACGATGTTGCTCTGTAAAAGGGTTAGTTGTGGTTGATGGGGAGAGAGAGAGACGTACGTTTCGCTCGTTGAATGATGGAGCGGTGATTTTTCGGTGTCGTTGCCATTTGTCTTTGTTTACACTATCGACGTTCTCTCCAAAAACGTTGAGAGCAGTGTAGATTGATGGAGGTTTGATAAATTCTCTGTATCGGGACAAAATATCTAAAAGTGGAAAAGTCAGAATTTGTTCAGTTGAGAAGCCGGTAATCTTGGAACACGCAAGTATTTGAGGTACAAGTAACAATTATTGGGAGCCATTGGTGTAGTTCTTCTAGTTGTATAAAGACTTTAGAAATTATGATAATATTGTTGTAACCCAGGTGTATACAGAATAACAACCACCTCACAAAATAAAAAAAGCAAAAACAACGCAAAAGAAAAAAACGTACCCTCAACAGCATTCCCATCCCCCAACATAATCTTCACTCTCCTCGGCGTCACAACCACAATCGCCGGTCCCAAGTCCCGATGAATCTTATTCCTCGAAGCAAAAGACGAAGCGAACGAGCCATGATCAATCCATTCACCAAGTCCATATGGTAAACGACGTAAAATGGGTGCGAGGAATGGTAACGTAAGACGCCAGAATGGATCCAGAGGTTCCACGGGCGTGATGAGGATGGGGAGGCCGATTGTACGGGCTAGTTTATAGTTGGTGTGGATGTTTAGCCCTTGTTTGATTATGATGGCGAGGAGGACGCTGAGGAGGATGAGGAGGAGGGCCATTTTTGTAGGAAGTGGGTGTGTGAGGGGAATTGGGAATTGGGAAGGAAGGAAGAAGAGTTGGGATTGTCGTTTAGAGATTTATTGTCATGGGAACTTCATGGCTTGGAAAGATATTCGTCGTTGGATATGACGTGAGGTTGTTATGTGTGATTTCAAGTTGGTGCTACCTTGTACTTAGGTGCTTCCCCGTGTACTCATGGAGAATGATTGGCTTGCGCTGCATTACTAAAATACCCCGCAATACATTGAGACAAGATCGCGAGGAATCAACAGCTCGGGAAATATTTCCTTAGAAACTCCAAGAATTACTCGTACTTCGAGGAAATAAAACACAAAGGCGGGTTGGTATCTCAACCATAAGTGATATTTTCGAATGGAGAACTTCCATTTCATCAACTCGATTCACGGAGAAACCCGACTTTGAATAGAAAGAAAACACCCGAACTAATAAACGAAAAAGATGTATTTCTTGAAATGATCCTGAAAAAATATCGAGAAATGCTGACAAAGGAGAGGTTCGGATAACCCACGCAGGCAAAAGTATTGCTGAGGACGAATCCCGCTACAATCTCCAAGGAAATACCGGTATTGAAAGAACCTCATATTTTCAGAAGCGAAAAAATCTACCATGCAGATGTTAAGATTATTGTGTTATTGACGGATGGAAATGGGAGGTGTGTGATACGGATATATGGACCACCTCCAGGTCCACACCCCTTTAAGACGTCTTCTGACCGTTTCAGGGGTGTGCATCTACCAGGGAAACAGGGGAAGTAGATTGCTCAATGGATGTATGTCGATATGCATACCACCGTTACATTGTCGATAGCACAGCCTTATGTGGGAACGGTATTCGGTAACATGTTTGGAAGTTTGAGCTGTGCGGCTGTGCCTCACAGGTACTTTTACAAGGTGGGAGAAGAAAGAGGCATCTAAGTAATTGTAGCATAGTAACATTATTTACTGAATAGGTTCTATACACTTTGTTGATTCCACCCGTAATGTCAGATTGATCGCAGAGTTTTCTATCTTTATCAGCGTTGGAAAAAAATAATCAACTAATTAATTAATACTCTAAATTATTTAGATTTGAATCAATTTGATTTAATTAATAAGTCTAGTTGATTTAATTTGATTAACCGATTTAGTTAATTAGAGTATTAATTAATTAATATATACTATAAATAGTAACTAAAGTACAAAGTAATCACCCTTAAATAACCCGTCTTTTAGTAGTATATTATTGTCCTTGTTTACAAAATACCCCTAGCTTTTTATACTTATTACTAGTATAGCCTTTAGAGTCCCTTTTATTATTATATTTTTATTTAAGTTATATGATTACACGTGACCCCCTATACTAGTAGTAACAAACAATTAGTACTATAAGCCTTCTACTAAAGTAAGGGAAGGGCTTATAATATAAAAGGTTTATAAGCTCTACTTATACGTTATATAGGGAGGTCGGACTACCCCGGACTCTACCCCGAGTCTCGGACCGACCGGACTCCGTATTAATCTGAATTAGTCTGATTACTTAGCGATTTGATTTGATGAATCGATATATTAGTCTGATTTGATTAATAGCACTTAATCAAATCAAATCAAATCATTTCTAACGCTGATCTTTATTATGCGAGTTTTTACCCTGACAGAAGTGTTTCTTCCTCCCACAGCTGCCGTGCTCGACTCTCGCGCACTTATACCAAGAGAGCCTGAGTCTGAGTATTGGTGTCTTGAAAGAATGTCTCTTTCCATCTTTACAGTTGGTTATTTAGACACCGGCAGAAAACTATTTGTTCATTCTCTACTTCCAAGTTTCCTTGTGAACAAAAACTGTGGTTATTAGCAATTTGTAGGGCCAATGATACAGAATCTATAGATTTTCTTGTAGAACAGCAATGAGTACGTTCTTATTCCAATTGGAATACTTTTCCCGATTGATCCTAAAGATGAGATACTCTTAGCCTGCTGCAATCGTCTTATATCCCCGCTTCTTTTCCTAGAATCATGGTAAGGTGGTATGCGGATTCAAATGCTTCGTAGATGTCTCTGCAACGGTGTATAGTTCGCTCTTGCAGAGGCTTGTTGCAACTGCTGCCTCGCCACGGTTTGGTAGTCCCCGTCCAGGAAACGCAGTCGAGCCGGACAAGTATTGAATCGCTGGAATGCAGTACCTGTATTCCAATCCAATCAGACTTGAGCCTTTTGTATACCGGAGCAAATGTCACACCCTTACGACTCACGGGAAATCCCAAGAATTACACGAGGAGTCGATCGTTTTCTCAATGAGACCGCTGTTAGAAATTATTATAAACCCACAAGAGTAGGCGGAGTGTGCTTCAGCTGATTCTACGCCAACTGTGGGTACATCACGATCACAACGTAGATGCAATTCACCCAAATTAGATTACACAACCCTACCTCTACCGCCACGCACCCGCGCCTCGCTTAGAAGCAAAACAACAACACCCGCGCAACAAAAAAATACCCCAAAAGCTGTACAACCCTAGAAAGCCCTTAGAAAATTCAAAATATAAAAGGAATCCCGAGCAGCAAAATAGTTCGGACCCGCCCGTCCTAAATCTCTATTTACCCTTGTCGTGACCAATTCCAGTCGTGCTTTTCCTTCCACTAGGGAAGGGAGCGTTCCACTTTGCCAGGTGGCCGATCTGGTGGCGCCCACGCCGGAGCCCATTGGTGAGAGTAGAAGGTCTGATTTGGGCTCTTGAAGGGCATTGTTGGTGGGGTCGGTTATATCAGCATTGAGGGTTTCGCTGCCGACATCTTTGAGTTTGACAACACCAGTGACCGACCCCTTCTTTGATAGCTGGTAGTGGCACGCCTGTAGTATCTGCTGCAATAACGAGTAATGGCAATGGCAATGGCAATAGCAATAGCAATGGCGGGATAATTTTAAATGGACGCGCAGCTGCGGGTTACTAGCTGTGATGATGGGTGCAGTAATGTTGTTGTAGAAAGGGGGGAATAAAATGGCAGAAGAACTATCAAGAGGCATACGTAAGGGCCTCAAAATGCAAACATAATAATCTGATATTACAATACTTCACGCAACGAACAACAGCATTTGTTGCAGAACATCTGCCCTGACGCTACTCCAAACGTGGCTCAAGCCCAGCGCCCACATGTTCTGCTGACATCAGATGAACAGTATGAATGCGACTTGCAACATACCACCACAATTGCACACGTTTTGACACAGCACATCTGTGGTGATACGTTACGAATCTGATGTATGAGTTGACAGAAAAAGCATTGACTAGCAGAGGAAAAAGAAAGCAAAGCTCAAACATGAGACTGGACTTGAATGGATTCCACAATGAGCTCCACAATAAGCTTTAGTAGACCAATGGTCGCTTGAGGAAGGCAAAGGTAACAAGTAAATAACGAATGTAGGAACGGAAGAGACAGGCAGGTATCGGAGGTCAAAGTAGCTTGAATGAAAGCAGAAAGTAAGGGAGGAGTCGACTAGCTATGAAGCTGTACCGCTGTGACGATGCTCATGAGCTAAATTGTGACTAGCTAAGCTCATGTGTGAGAAATGAATGGGACACGTACTGTACGGGATGGGATGTTGGGGTTCCGAGATTTGTCATGGTAATGGCTATCTCAGCTTCAAACCATCTTTATAAAGGCTTAAGATGGTAGACTTAGGCTCTCCCATCGATGGGTACCCCCTTCCATAGCCCTGGCCCGACTCTACAAGGAGTGTAGGTGTTTTCGAGGAAATAGTACCTAGCTAGGTAGTGAGGAAGTAGTGTAATACAGTAGTCTAGTTTGAAACACGAAGACTGAAACTCAAACATAAACGCGATTGGTTGGGCGGCTTCTAGAAATGCCGACATCGGGCCGTGAGTGAAAGTGGAGTCACAAAAAATAATGATATTTTCAGCCTCGTCTTATCTTCATATCCCCCCCATTTGATATCCCCGCGCCGTTATGAGCTTTTCTCGCGCATGAAGCATCCGAATCTCAGTCGAATTTTTGGACGGGATGTAAAGCGATTGGTTTCGTCTATTCAGAATAACCCAATCTATTTCCAATCTTCGCGATACTCTTACAGCACAATGGCTCTCCCCGATATCTCTGCGACACCAGCTATTGACCAGCATATTCTGCACGATGGAAAGGAATATACCACGATCAAAGAGGGATTGGCATATCTTTTAGTACCCGCTTCCGCTTCGAAAGTTCCTCAAACCTCTCCTCAAGGTGAAAACCAGCCTCAATCAGTCTTCTACAATCCTATTCAGCAATTCAATCGGGATTTGAGTGTCCTTGCGATTAGGGCGTATGGAGAACAGGTTCTAGAAACTAGGAAGGAAAGAAACGAGAAGAGTCGCAAGAAATTGAGTGCAAAGAAGAAGGATGCGAAAAGAAAACGGGCTGAAGAAGGTCCTGATAATGCATCGAGAAAAGCTGCGAAGCTCGAGGGAGAAGGAGAGGGTGATGTCGCAAGCTCAGAAGCTCTCAATGGAGGAACAGAAACACCAAAAGCGGATACAGAAAATGCTATGGAAGTTGATAATGGAGCGAAGGATGCGGAAACCCAGTCCTCCGAGAACACAGATGCTGTAGCAGAAAAAGATGATGTGCCCAAGCCAAATGAACAGAGTGCGGATGCGCCTCCTGCGATTGAGGAGCAACCTACACCATCTTCCCTTCCTAAATCACCAACATTTACTATCCTCGATGCGCTATCCGCAACTGGACTACGAGCGCTCAGATATATCCACGAAATACCATTTGCGACCTCGGTCACAGCCAATGACTTATTACCCGATGCTACGAAAACAATCAAAAGAAATGTCAAGCATAACAAACTGGACGACAAGATTGAAGCAATCACTGGGAATGCCCTAGCTCATATGTATAACGTCTCTTGCGGAGAATCAAAAATTTCTGGGAAATCCGGTCCACCAAGACCCAAATATGATGTTATCGATTTAGATCCCTACGGAACCGCCGCGCCTTTTCTGGATGCCGCTGTTCAATCAGTACGAGAAGATGGTGGTCTGTTGTGCGTAACTTGTACGGACGCTGGAGTTTGGGCTTCCAATGGATATCCAGAGAAATCATTCTCTCTCTATGGTGGTATACCAATCAAAGGCATGCACTCACATGAGGGCGGCCTACGACTCATTCTCCATGCCATCTCCGCTTCAGCAGCAAAATACGGGTTAGCAATGGAACCACTCCTCTCCCTCTCCATCGACTTTTACGCCCGAGTCTTTGTCAAGATCCACAAGTCCCCCGCTGAAGTGAAATTCCTAGCCGGAAAAACAATGGTAGTATATAACTGCGACAGCGGCTGCGGAGCCTGGACCACGCAAATGATCGCGCGCAATAAATTAACCAAGAACAAGAACGGTAATGGGTACTACTGGAAACACGTTTTTGGCCAGGCACCAGTAGCCAGCGAAAACTGCGAGCACTGTGGCTCCAAAACTCACCTGGCAGGACCTATGTACGCAGGCCCCCTCCACTCCCCCGACTTCATCAAAAAGATCCTCGACGAACTCCCCAACATCTCAAAAGACACCTACCAAACACACTCCCGAATCGAAGGCATGCTCTCCACCGCCCTCGAAGAAACCCTCCCTCCTCCCTCCTCCTCTTCAACAGAACCCCTCGACTCCCCCACCGCACCCTCCAAAACCGGCCGTTACGATCCCGCAGCCATCGATCACTTCCCCTTCTTCTTCATTCCCTCTACCCTCGCGAAAGTCGTCCATTGTATCACGCCACATGAGAATGCTATCCGGGGAGCGCTCAGACATCTCGGGTATAGATGTACGAGGAGCCATACGAAGCCGGGGACTATTAAGACGGATGCGCCGTGGGGCGTGATTTGGGAGGTTATGAGGGAGTGGGTGAGGCAGAAGGCGCCTATTAAGGAGGGGGCTGTTAAGGAGGGGATGGTGGGGTGGCGGATTCTTGGGTTAGGTGAGAAGCAGGATGAGAATTCTGAGGCTGTGGTCTCTGCGGAGAATCGAAATGGAAATGGAAATGAAAATGGAAATGGAAGCGCCTCAGCGGAAGACGAACAGCAACAGAAAGAAACGGAGAAGACCAAACCAAAGCCGAAAATCGTCTTCGATGAAAACCTCGGTAAAGAAAGGGATACGAAGAAACTCGTTAGGTACCAGTTGAATCCACGCGAGAACTGGGGTCCGATGAATAGAGCTAGTAATAAGGGGGCAAAGAAGAGTGGTGAGGAAGTTACTACTACTGAATCATAGCATAATAAGAGTACTTACTCACTTTATGTTTGGGAAATTGGGGGGCGAGGGGATGTGTGGGCTTGGAGAAGAGAGGATCTGGACCTGGACCTGGACCTGGACCTGGATTTAAACCCGGGGGGTGGGGTTGATGAAGATAGGTAGTTGTAGAATGTAAGAATGCTATGTAGAATACACAAGAAACCAAGAAGAGAAATACAAATGCAAATTCAAATCCAAATACACGGCATTGATTTATCCTAAGAGATCCGTATACTTTTAATACACCCAATACAGTACAATACAGTACAGTACAATGCAACACAATACAATACAATACAGTAGTAAAACCATATAACCCACCCACAGGAAATCCAGAATCAAAATCAAACCAACCAACTCCTACATCGAACCCAAGTTACCAAGTAAAACGAGATATTCCGTTTCTATATCAAGTCATTAACCCTTCATCAAAACCAATAAATACCATCTATTTATTCATTCACCCATTCCTTTAAACACAAAAACGCCGATTTCCAATTTACCTTAATACCTTCATAACTTCCTAAACACACATAATAATTTAATTCGACTCAATAACAGAATAGACATAGACCGACTAGCAAAGAGACCGACTAGCCACTAAGAAGAACCCATGTAATCTCCTACGTTCTCAGCGAAAGCAAGAACCTCCGAACCATTGAATTTAAAACGACTTTAATAAAATCTATAATACACAATGCCCTATTTCACTAGTCCCATGATCCCACAATCTCAACCCCACCCACGAATTCCCAAACAACAAGTTCTCTCTAGACCCCAAGTGGCTCAAGCTTACAACTTAGCCTTAGCACTCTCCAGCGTAGGCATCAACAAATCCCTCATATCCCCAGCAGCCTCGTTGAGATAGAAGCTCATCCTCTCACTGCCGAGACCCTTGGAGACGATGTTGAATTGGATACTATTCACACGCAGGAAAGTTAGCATTCCACTCATTCCATTCCACGTTGAAATCTTGATACAGTAAACGAGGGGGAGAAAATAGGGGGAGATAGGAAGAGCGTAGAGGCCAGGGGGAAGGGAGAAAAAAGAAGGAAAGAACTAACCTATTCTCATTAATCATATACGCAATCCCCCACCCATCATCCACCACCTGACTCCATCCATACCCATTAAAGTACTCGGAACTAAGCTGACTACTCGAGATGAACCATTTACTCGAGTACCCAAACGCAGGGTCCTTATAGATAGCAGGGACCTCTTCACCGGGCGTGAGCAGTTTCTTCAATCCGAAGAGGTGTCGGTCGACACCCTTGCCATCGGATGCAGCAGAGATGTATTCGACATGTGCATTGATAGCCTTGCGGAACAGCGCAACCGTTTCCTCGGGTTGGGTATTGGCATCGGAAATGGCTTTGCAGAATGCGACCGAGTCGTCCGAGACGGTACGACAGGTTTCTGTACGGCCTTGTTGGAATCGACGCGTGGCGGCGGATTCGTAGGTTGGTCGGTTTTTACCGTACATTTTGAAGTAGGCGAGTTGGATGATCATCTGGACGTAGGCATCGGGAGAACATTTGAATTTCTTAATCAGACCCTTTCCGTATCCCTGGTACGCTTGTACGCGTAACTGGTGAGCACCAATAACCTCAGTGAAGTCCTTAGTAGCACGTTCGATTTCAGCAGTTACTTCCTTGGTGACGTGGAATTTGATGGGTGTTGGCTCAGGAAGATTGGAGCGGATGGAAGGGTCGGAAAAGTCGAGTTTGCTGGCAAAGATTACTTCATTGACATAGTCGTTTAGTCGGTGGGTGGGTGTACCATCCATCATGGAGTGCTCGCCCATGAATCCCGATGTTCCGTTGTCGTTGATGATGAATTGAAGTGGTTTATCGTACCATCTGTTCGCTCCATCTCCGTGCCAATATTGATGAGCTCTTTCCTCTAGAGTTACTGGAGAAGCGTCGTCCAAGCAGACAACGAAAGAGGCAGACTCAATCGTCTTCAAAGCTGCAGCATTTGAAGAATGTGCCTTGAGCAGAACCTCCCGAGCATCGGTCCAAATATCACGGTTCTCACTGGTAAGCGCACCAACCGCAGGCGCCTTCTCAGCTTTCTCATAAATCCTCTTGAATTGCTGTTCCAACTCGGAAGTATTCAATTGCTGCCCATCAACCTCATGCAAGACCTTGAAGAACTGATTCTTTCGGATCACCAAAATATGTTTGTTCTCCGTGGGCGAGTAGGTAATCGGGTAATCCGCCGGTTTGGCAGGGACACGACAAGCATTGAACATCCACTGATAACTCTCCATGGAAATCGGCAGCTTCTTCATATACTCTGGCTTCAAGGTCCCAAGATCAACCTGTTTCTTGAACTCCAGGGCCGCGGTCGTGATAGCCGCCGCTCTCTTGGAGGGATCGCGACGCCGTCGGTCGTCCCGGTGAGAGTAGAAGTAACTGACATATGGCACCACGGGGTCGCGGTAAGTCAGGTACGCAGCATCATTCCACCACTCGTAGAGCCAATTCTTGTGCTTGGGGTCTTCTCGTCGGGCGAGCAGTTTCTCTTGTAGCTTGCTTCCCACGCCGCCTGGTTTGACAAAGTCTTGCACGGCTTTCGTGGTCGATTCGAGCTCCTTGGGAGACAGAAGCGGGTGTACACTCTTGAGGTATCGCGCAGCGGTCTCTTCTAGAGTTGGAACAGGCAACTTCGGCAGCGAGTCTTCGAATCGTAGCATGGGACCTTTCGAAAGATCTTCCTTGTATGCTGTGGGAATATCAGCAAGTGTTGCACATCGCGGGGCAGGACGGGTAAGAAACAAAGAATCGCACTGGCATACCTCCCGGCAGCGAACTGCTCTTGCGAACATTAGTTGGCGCCATCCCCAATCCCGAATTCTAGCACCACAATCAGTATCTGAACCAATCCGTCTCCTCAAGTGATCCTCTCTCAACATACGCGTATTCCAAGCTGGAAGCTGCTACTACTTCTGAGCACCTGAGACTGGGAGCGACCTTTGGCAAGCACTTTCAACATCCCCAACAACGGTATGCAGACACAACGAGAAAGTAGTCTAGGGACGGACAGGAACTTGCAAGGCTAGTTAAGAAGGTGCACAAAAAAAGAGTTTATGGCAGATTATGGCGGCGGGAGATTTGTCGTCGGCGTTTTTTTGGGGTCCAGACAACAACACCTTGTTCTTGCGCTTGTCCCGCTGGTGCGGTGGGATGAGCCCAGCTGCTGCATTCTTGGCTGCAAGCGTTGAGCCGAGGCTATCATCTTCAGTCCGAACCCCACAACCCACCCCACAATCCACAATCCACAACCTCCCGTCAAACCCCCGAAGTCCCTACATCCCCTCCAACCAATAACGTCTCCCTCACGGCATTCTCATTTGGCAACCCTACAACCACCACAGCGTAAAAAGGCTCACACAAGCAGTGTTCACAAGCACACCCGAATATCCTCGGTCCTTGGACGTGGTCAGCTGAGGAAAATTACGCTCGCTCGCTAGATATACTAGTCATGCCTGCTTCAGCTACCTACTCAGGTACCATACGTATCATGATTTTGCACGTCACGTTGGATCCGCAAGTACTTTGTAACAAAAGTTCCAAGCATGTGAAAATGGATACTACCTACTGTACATGTATCCGGACCCCGTTGCACGATCGCCAAGGACAGACATCATGGATGTCAAACTTGAGTCGAGGCTTCAAAGTTCAAGCGCTGTTGTTGACGTGTGCAATTCACATTCAATTTATACAGGTATTCTAGACGACAGAAAATATAGACACACGGAAACTGGCTGTATTTGCCATTGCATGGTCCTCTCGCTTCTCATAATGAAGCCAGTCAGTCTACCAATTAAATTCCCCACAGATCTGCTCCCTCACAACCATCTGCTCTCCAAGAACCCTGTCATTCCTCACAAGCACCTCATCTCTTACACCTCCAGACTCGTATCTAACAAAAAAAAGAAGACGCCAGTCTGCTCCTTACTCAACTACTTTGAGTAAACTCCGGTCCAACAAAAAAAAACTCCTCACGGACCGTGTATTTCCGTACATGCTCCTGATTTTCTTCTGATTACCCTACCCAAAGAAACAAAAAAGGGGAAAACGATTCAAAGCTCAAAGGCATGAATTCAAAAGTTTTTCCCGCTCCCCCGATTCTGTCCCAACGCAGATCGCTGAACAAAAATGATATTAAACACGATGTGATTTCCACTTGGATGAAAAAGAATCTGCGCTTTTGGTATTTCTCGATTCATAAAAAACCGCCTGATGCGCCTGTTGATGTTGTTGACAAAGAAAGATCGTATGTACTTGAAAAAATTAAATGCTTCTTCTGAAACCTAAAGTGTTGCTGTGTCGAAGACGGTAAATATAGAAGATTAGAGTGGTCTCGGGATGCTCCCATTCGCAATGGTTGTTGTTTCGGCAGTGGCATCTGTATTATCAGATGGCAAAGATAATTCGCGGCTAGAGTGCCTATGCTCCTCTGGCGTAGTGGCCGCAGAAGAGTTCTCCGCTTCTTCTGGTATTGTTGCAAATTTTTGCAATACTTGTTTCAAAGCAGGTCGACGGATTGGCTTGCTAAGGAAATGGTCCATGCCAGAATCATAACACTCCTTGACATTACTTTCTTCCGAAAATGCAGTAAGAGCAACGATCGGCGCGCTATAGCCCATCTGGCGAATTAGTCGAGTGCTCTGAAGACCATCCAGATTTGGCATCTGATTTCTGTTAGCTAGAGTCTAAGTTGTAGTCAGTAATCTGAAAAAAGCTTACCTGAATGTCCATGAAGATAAGGTTGAAGTATTGACCCTTGTCCATATTTTCCTTGACAATATCGTAAGCTTGCTTGCCGTCTTCCGCTACTACCACTTCAACGTCATAGATGTGTTCCAGCTTCAGCATACTTTTGGATTGTTAGCATCTCAGACCTCACCCGAGAGGGAAGAACTCACCGAATCACTATCTCTTGGTTCACAAGATTATCCTCCGCAACAAGAATCCGAAGCTTCTTTGGGGGCTCTTTCGACTTGCCTAGGGCGGGTATACTTTCTTTCTTTGCTTTGCCATCTGGAGACGTGCCTGTGCCTGGGTTGGATGCAAAGAAAGGCTGGCTTAGCCCAATTAATCTCGGCTGGGCATCTTTTTCAAAGTCGCCACTATTTCTCGAACTTGAACCTGCAGCACCTGCTGGTGGAGGTATACTGCCGTCGACGTGGACGCTATCCGCACTTCTCGAGCGCGAGGGGCCATGCACGTCTGAGCTTGACGTGGAAGGGGCGCGTGACTTGGTGTACTTGAGCGGGATTTTGACCTTGAACGTGGTGCCCGTTGGAATGGCCTGTGAGCTCACAAGCGATATTTCGCCATTCATCAATTGACTGAGTTGGTGGCAGATGGAGAGTCCTAGCCCCGTCCCTCCGAATTTCTTGCTCAAGCCCAGATCACCTTGAACAAATGGTTCAAACACACGCTCCTGCATACCTTCGGGAATGCCAGGGCCAGTATCTTCCACTTCGAATTGGAACATTAACGTTCGTGCATTCGAAGGAGGTGGAGTTGGCGAACGCTCTCGAATCTGAACCTTTGGTGCTGCGGCTGGGTCCATGGGATTGATTTGCAATGCCGTCCCCTGAGGTGATTTATTTCCTGACGAGTCGGAGGCTTTCCGAGAAATCTGAGATGCGTTGGATCCAGTATCATGATGGCGACCTCTCGAGCGCTTCTGTGAACCCTGTTTGGTTGACTCCTTGGACTGCAAGGAATTTCGGCTACCGTCTGATGTACTTTCAACCTCCCCAAGACATTTAATTCGCACTTCTACCTTGCCACCTGCTGGTGTAAATTTTAGACTGTTGCTGACAAGGTTGATGACGACCTGAAGAATTCTGTGTTGATCACCCCATAGGCTGCAATGAATTAGTATATAGTAAGGAACAAAACAATCGATCAAGTCGTAAACTTACCTCATATCTTTCAGTCGTCCCGTGCCTTGTGGGCCGAGAGCAGGTAATTTCTTTTGGGTCATCCCATCGGTTTCAATATCGGTGTCTGTACCGACGAATCTGACCGCAAATTGTATGTTCTTTTCTTGAACTTGTTTGGTGAAAATCGTTACAATTTGAGTTTTGATATCTGACAGACGAAACTCTCTTTCTTCGAGACTCAATTGTTGCCCAATTTGATTCTTACTGAAAGTTAAAAGATCATTCAATAGATGAAGGAGGAGATCTCCGGATTTGTAAACTACCTGGAGACTTCTCTTGATTCGTGGAAGATCATCTTCGCCCATGCAGACAGCACACATCCCAAGGATCCCATTCAAAGGTGTCTTGAGCTCATGAGAAATGTTGGCGATAAACAATGTCTTGCTCTCGTTGGCAGCTTCGGCAGCTTTCTTGCTAATCTCCAACTCGCGCGTTCGCTCGGCTACTTTTTCTTCCAGCCCTTGGTATTGAAGCATCAGTTCGTCAGTCATCTCGTTGAAGGTTGCTATAAAGTGTTAGTACATGTATCAGTTTTCTGGACTTACAAGGGACGTGTGAAAACTATGTCAAATGAGAAATCTGGCCACGCAAGATATATCCCCTAATATAAAAAACGTCTCGAAAATTCAAGAACATGGTCCCCTGTCTTCTGAGTTTCTTCATACCAATGATCGATATCTTGGTTGGCCAAACTGTTCAATATCCATAATATCACACGCCCCTGAATCCTAGGAGCGGAGAAGACATACATGTTAATTCTGTGAGTTCGTCAGTGACCCAATGCTTCCGGTCTTGTACCCTCGCTGGGATTTTGAACCCTCGCCGTCGGTGGTCATCGTTACGTTGCGATTTCGTCTTTCTTTTCCCCCCACTGGTCATATTTCTTAGCCTAATGAAAATGCCAGTCTTTTGGGATTGAGCAGAATTCGATCGGTGTAAATCCGGGTCTTCTACATCTGATGTATCATCAAATCGTCCAGATCGCACACTCCCATTTGGTGTATACCCTGGAGGGGTGATGGATTTTTCCGTAGCATCTCTCAGCCGACGAATAGGCCGCACACTAAAATGGGCCGTTGGTACTACAACAAAAAGTATCAAGCCAATGGATCCAAAAACGCAAGCAAGAACAATCACTCGAAGCTTCACCACAGGAGCCCAGGCTTCGGAATGTGATTGCTCAATAATCAGAAGCCAGTCTGCCAAGGCACTCTTAGGTCTTGCATATCCTACACTAACTGAGATGTTATTCTCATTTCGTGTCGATAAGAGACTGCCAGCATTGTTGATCGCGTTTATATCATATCCACCAAACCCGTTCACCACCGCAGGGTATTGTCGAACGGTGAAGTTCGAAGAACCCATGGTCGTCCAATTATTCAGATACGCCCTGTGTCTATCGCGGCCCTGAGGATTGGTGGGGGGAAATATATACTTGATCTGGGCGTTCCCTATGACGGCGGGTGGAGGTTTGTATGTCGCTGTTGAAGGCCGCATTTCGTATTTGAACATATTCTCTCGCCTTGTCGAACCAACCAGCAGTACCATTCCACTATTTCCTAGGCCTTCGCGCGATTGAATAACATCCATCAAGGATGAGGCTGCTGCAACAACCGTCATAAACCCTAAGCAGACCTGGGGATTTAGGTTATCAATGATTGGCAAGGTCATAGAGAGAAGAGCATAAGTCTCATTGATTTGTATGGGCCCGAGCAACAACACGGAAGATTGGTTCAGGGGAAAGTCGGCAAAGGCAGATACTTGGGTCAGAGTCTGTGAGCTGTCCGCAGGGTCCGGTATGGTGGTGTTTGTATAGGAAATATTGGGATATAACGATGACGGAAATCCCTCACTTCCTTGTCCAAGTAGAACTCCATTGGTGTTTGGTAAAACAATCCCTGTTGTGTTCGCGGTTGTGTTAAATAGACCCTTTCGATTGCCCGTCTCATTCCGAGAGTACACAACTAGTTGTAACAAGCTTGAGAGTCCACCTCCCGCGAGAGCGCTACTCACATCAGTGCTCGCAGCCCTACACAAGTTAGTACTTCCCTACAAAACTGTCGTAGGAATAGCTTTTCTGGTACAAGGAACGTGGACCAAAACTGCTTCTCCAGTTCCCCTTCAACCATAGTATTAGAAAAAAGACTCTTACGTCCAATTAGCACCTGTGCCATCCCCCCTGTAAAAATTCCTCAAGGCATTCTGTACGATGATTCTTGTAGGGATCGTGGCACATGTTGATTGAATTAACAGCAGGTCGGACGCAATTTGAGCAGCCTTTAGACTCGCAGTCAAACTCAATTGTTGACCTGTAACGTTCGTGACGAAGGCATATTGATTGACCCAAGTTGCGACAGCCAACACCATCAAAGGCACCAACGCCGTGAGGAGCACCACGACCGCGAATTGCTCCCGAATGCCAATGCGCATGATGGGGAGATGCGTCCTTTTCTCCCAACGTGATGTGCCTTTGCAAGCTCCTCAGGCTCCTCTGTCTCCGTTGTACCTGTTGACCTCGCACGCATACGCTGAGTTCCCCACGGGTTCCTACACTCGCGACCCGTAGCGGCGTCGATATTAGAGTCGCGCGTCCCCAACCGAGGACATGTTTTGGCGATGGTGTTTCCGACTCGAGCTGAATGGGAATTGGGGGTGGGAGTTTCCGAATGCGGTTGAATGGACTGGGGGGTAGGAGCGAGGTCAATCTTGGGGGAGGGTTTGGAATGTGTATTTTCCGAGACACGAATGGGGGGCGTGGAGAAAGGAGGATTCGAGTATTGGCGAGAGGTCGTGGCGGTGGTGAGGGAGGAGGAGGAGGAGATGTGGTGTGGGCGTGAGCTGAGCTGGGGATGGGATGGGATGGGAATGGGAATGAATGGGATGGCAATTTTACACGGAGCGATATGATTAAGCTGCAGCGGTACCAGTACTCGTATTACTGTAGCTGTAGGGGTGGCAGGACTAGGCAGGCGAGGCAGGACAGCAAAGGAGGAGACACCTAAGGCGGCCACTGCACTCTGACTGGCGCATGCGATGGGGATGGGGATGGGGATGGGGATGGGCATGGCAGCGCCAGTAAGAGTAGTCATGTACAATAGGTGGGAATTATTGCTGAAAACGGCCTTTCAATTGTTCTTCTTTCACTCGAACCAACTTTGGCTTGGTGGTAGTGGTAGTGGTAGTGGTACTGTCGTGGTAGTAAGAGTCGGTACCGGTACAGTACTCCCGACCGTACTCGCTCGGTTACTAAGCTAAGTCCCAGTCCCTACCTCCGTAACGCTAGCTCCGGCTAGCAAAAGCCGGGGTTGGGCCTAGCCAGGTATGGCTCGTTGGTGCAGGTGGCCTGTGGTCAGTGGATCTCCTTTCTCCATATTCATACTGTATTCATCCCTAGGGACCTTACCTACCTACAACGGCCGACCAATTACTGCTCCGTAAGCTTATACTTAAAGTACAGTAGTCGAAACCTTAGATGCACAGCCGCATGTGCCAGCTCGGCACCCAGCTCCCAGCACGCACCATCATGATTGGCACTGCAAACGTACCAATACCCATCCGGACCTCGACGCTGTACGAGTCCGGGGCACCTGCAGTTTCGATTTTAACTTTGATCCCGTCCATTCATCTCGGCATGTTTTGTACTGACAGTACTCGAGGACTCCGTACTGTCCATTTCCTACACTCCGGTGCCGGCCACCGAACAGGCCCGAGTATGCGATCACCCTTACCTGTACGCTCCGTGGTCAAGTCACCATCTGTCCTACACTCTCCTGATTTCTCTCAACCTGGATAGGATAGCCTTTCGGGAGCCACATGCAATCCCAGCTGCCGGGTTGACGGATTTTATCTGAAATCTTAATATCGACCGGAAACTTTATCGCTACCTGGCTACATCTGCCCGCATACTCATGGCCCAAGCCAAGTCCCACGACTCCGTCTTCTTCTCCCCGTGCACAATTCACCAACTCTGAAATTACGAAAACGGAGTAGGAACCAAGCGAAGCGGAGAAAAGACTCCGCTTATGAGCTTGTTCTTGTACGCACGACGTGGTGAGACAGGATCAAAAAGAAATACAACGAAGACCTCCAACCCAATCAAAAATCCGATGAATCCGCACTCTCTCTCGAAAAAAAAGAACACACTTCCATTTAAGCACAACAATAAGCTAGTCCCCTTGTCTCCATCTCACCTCAATTTATGCATGCGAAAATCCGAGGATCACAAGGGTATATTTATAACTTAACCCAACGAACTCAACTCAACGGCTACCGGCACAGTTTGAAGTCTCTTCGTTTCTTTTACCCCTACTGTACACGTATGTACAAGCCTTTCCCAAGATTTTCGTTTGCCGATGTGGAAGAAAGCTTCCGTCTCCATTATTCCTTAGCGAGGTCCACTTTCTAAGCACGAGCCAGAGCACAACCACAATCTCGAAACAAAAAACATTTAGGAGTAATAATAATTGGTAAAGGACGTGCAAACAGTTTCAACTAACTATCCCGCGAAATGAAGCTCAGAGGCAAAAGATTTTATTATCAGCCAATATGCTGACCCGTCTTTCCACCATGTGAAACAGGTCTCATTCAACTTCAAAGGAGTCAGGTTTTATATATTAGATAGTTTTTTCCTACTCTCCTTTGGAAGGTTACCTCGTTCAATACAATTCTTATTCGTACTTCAAACTAGCCTTCCAGGCACTCCACTTTATATATTGCCGTCAACAGATTTCAATACTAGATTCCGAAATACTTCCCACCTAGTACGTTTTATATATACCCTGCATACATACATACATACCTCACGAACTTCCCATATAGGTCCGTATAATCAGGTCCGTGTACTGACTGTCACATGACTTTTTCGACACCTATATATTAAAACTACTATTACTTTACTAAAACACACGTAAATAGATTAGAAATAAGCTTAATTAATAGCTAATTAGTACTTGGTTACCCTACCTTCGTGTCACGAGTCACGTGGTAGAGGGATGGCCTTTGTCATGTGATGAGTTAGTCTGTGACACGACAGACACATCCGAGTAGTTATAGCAAATAGGGATGCTTAGACTAGCTAAGCGATCCAGGGATTTAATTGTATGTAGTCACGTGACGGATCTTTGGATCTTGATGGATCCTAAGATCTAACCAGATCCATGAGCAAAAAGGTTCTATATGAGACTGGCACGTCTGACATTAGATAGGAGCTTCGTGCTCAACTTAGTTTAGCAATCTAGTCATTACTTCTTTGTTAATAAGTGATGAGTTTACCTCCGAGTAAACAACCCGGCGCATCTGTACTTCTTACCCGCATACCAACCGTCGAAACGATTACCTTTGTCAGATAGTTTGAGTTTCGTCACACTTTGTTCTTAAGGTATACGGCGTACTTAGCTAGTATAGAATTATATAGCTTAAGGGGTAAATCTTCGGGTATTTATATCTACGTTTAAATAAGAGCGTACTATATCTCCTTTATATTCCTAACCTTATACTTTCTCTTAGAAATAAAGTTCTTAACCTACTTCTATAAATTCTTAATAGGGTTAAGATTAGTGTAACGAATACTCAAACTGGCTAACTAAACTTGGCTGGGTGTTCGCTGGTTGGTATGCTATGATAAGAAGAAGACTATCGGGTTGTTCACTTGGAAGTGAACTCGTTACTTGTATCAAAGATGTCAAACTAATATGATAAGATTGATAACTAAGTTGAGCACGAAGCTCCTATCTAATGGCAGACGTGCCAGTCTTATATAGAACCTTCATACCCCGCGTATGGTCCGAGTATAGAGTAGTATAAGCCTTCCTTATATGTAACGAATACTCAAACTGGCTAACTAAACTTGGCTGGGTGTTCGCTGGTTGGTATGCTATGATAAGAAGAAGACTATCGGGTTGTTCACTTGGAAGTGAACTCGTTACTTGTATCAAAGATGTCAAACTAATATGATAAGATTGATAACTAAGTTGAGCACGAAGCTCCTATCTAATGGCAGTCGTGCCAGTGTTTATATAGAACCTTCATGTTCGTGGATCCAACTGGATCCATGGATCCTCTGGGGTCCATCACGTGATTACAACCAAATGAAATCCCTGGATCGCTTAGCTAGTCTAACCGATCCCTATTCGCTATAAGGGTCCGTGATGTGCTCGTCCTGTCAGGGCGCCGCCTGGACTTCACTCCTCAACGTGCTGCGCACGTGATTCGTGACANNAATATGATAAGATTGATAACTAAGTTGAGCACGAAGCTCCTATCTAATGGCAGACGTGCCAGTCTTATATAGAACCTTCATGTTCGTGGATCCAACTGGATCCATGGATCCTCTGGGGTCCATCACGTGATTACAACCAAATGAAATCCCTGGATCGCTTAGCTAGTCTAACCGATCCCTATTCGCTATAAGGGTCCGTGATGTGCTCGTCCTGTCAGGGCGCCGCCTGGACTTCACTCCTCAACGTGCTGCGCACGTGATTCGTGACACTAGCATACCAACCAGCGAACACCCAGCCAAGTTTAGTTAGCCAGTTTGAGTATTCGTTACACTAAGGACTTAAATATATTTCTTTAGATAAGGATTTATTTAAGTTAGTAATATTTATTAATACTTCTTTTATAAACCTAATAGACTTAAGTTTATAGATTAGATAGGTTTTATATTTAGTAGATAAGGATAATAATACCAATATTTTATACTAGAGTTTTATAAAGTATAGACAAATTACTAGAAGTATACTTACTTCTAAGCTATATACTTTAAGTAAAGGTTTTAATACTACTAGGGTAATTAAATTAAAGATTAAGGCTATCCTTAGAAAATATATGAAGCTTACTATTTATATAGATTTAAAGTTAGTTTATAAATACCTAATAAAACTTAGTACTACTAAGGAGAAGCGTGTCACGAATCACGTGTTCACGTGATAAGAGAAGACCAGGCGGCGTCCTGAAAGGTCAAGCACTATCAGTACTCTTATAGCAAATAGGGACGCTTGGGCTAGCTAAGCGATCCAGGGATTTCATTCGGTTAATATCACGTGACAGGGTCACATGATCGTTGGAGCTTGCAGGAGCTTGCGTTGGAGCTTGAGGATCTTGGGCTCCCCGTAGG